AAGACACTGATCAAAAGCTTATACTTATTCTTTAAGATGCATAGTGACATTCTGTTTCTTCATACTTTTCATCATCTTATGTAAATAAAATATAGATTCAAAACACTCACTGTAGTGGGTTTTTTGGGAACACAATCTAATGTTTATGGCATATTTCTCTCATATTTGTCTCTTTTTGAAAATTAGGAGACAGTTTTATTTAAAAATGGCCTTATCACAGCATGCAAATAGCAGTTATACATTCTGGCAACTACAATTATGATTTTTATACCAATGTCATACTGCTGTGGTTGGTATGAAGCTCAAGATATGATGAATCAGATATTATCTGCAGCCTCAAAGTCATATTGTGGAGACGGAAGGAAAACCAGTTTTAGAAGAATATGAATCAGTCAAGTAAACAAAATAAAATTCTTGTAAAGATGAGAATTTAAGTCCTGTCATGCACTTTCAAGGCAGTGAATATCATTTAGAATTGCAAGGCCAGGGTGGCAGAGCCCTTATTCTTTTGGTTATATCTGTTAGTGTTAAAAACAGTTTAATTCAAGATTTTAATTTGAATGCGCTTTCTCAAAATGAAATTGTCCAGAGATTTATGAGTTCGTGTTCACGACAAATTAAGAAAATCCGCTACCAGGAGCCATCTGGTTGGTGAAATATGCTCCTTGGCATTATCCTGAAACTTGGCCTGTTTCAGGGCATGTTTAAAACCTGCTTCAGACTTGCATGTCACAGGTTGCAGTGATACTTTTTACGTGTACCTCAGCTCACCAACTCTGCTTGGCATAATGCATCCTATAGCTCTAACTGCTCTTCAGACATCGCTTGGCCAGTTAACTCCAAAGTGGGTACATACCATTCTAGTGACGGTGCCGTTGCCAGACAGTGAAACAGGGTTCCTGCATAAAGCAGAAGGGCTATCTTATTATTTGGTTGATACACATCCTGTGCCACAAACTGCTCCTGAGGAAAATCTACATGGCCAGTGGATTCCAGACTTGGTAGGAGTTATTCAAGGCACAATACGATTAATATAAAATAATAATAATAAACTTTATTTTATATAGCGCCTTTAAAGGTGGCTTCTCAAAGCGCTTTACAGGATGACAATAACAATAAATAAGAAGACTACAACAATAAATAAGAAGATTTCACAAGATAGGACACAATTATAATTACAACAATACAACAATAACAATAGAGGAGACCGTGGAAGGTGGTATTAAGAAGAGCAGAGGGGTGAAGAAAGGAACCAGTTAAGTAAAGGCTTTTCTGAAGAAGAAGGTTTTGTCAAAATGTCAAAATGGGGCTCCTTCTTTGAGCACAAGGACTGCCTGACAGCCGTTGTGTGCGCAAAAGTCCAATTACTGCTGTCTTAGGAGCCACTGCACTGATTTAATTGAACTTGTAGGTGCATCACATAACAGAACCTCCTCCGGTCTTTCACCTCACGTGTGGATCTGACACCTTTTACAACCACATTAGGTCATCACTCGCTATGTGAAACACGACCCATACCACAGACTGCTCCTCTTCAATATCTGTTGCTGCCACTAAATGCGAAACCATGCAACTTACAAAATGCTTGTAGGTAGCATTTTTATAACACAATTGAAAAATGGCAATATATGGGTTCCTGCATGACCCAAAATTGCTACTTGACCCCTGTTTTTTTTAATTCACACTGCCTCAGTCTTGGGGAAAAAGCAGTTGCTGCGATGTCATTATGGAACTTAGAAGACTTAGACTTGGAAGCTTTCAAAACCACTTGTAGTTTACTAGTTAAACATGAGTAGTTCAGTACCTAATAAAGTCACTAATAAAGGCTGTTGTTTGTATACTAGTATGCAGTGTCTCCTGACTGTTAGACATTTTTGTGGAATTCCAATCATCCACACATTGACAAAGTAGTTGCTGATTCATAAAGGAAACGACTCTTTCATGTTTGGCGTAAGGAGAGCCTATCAGTTAGACCCTGACTGATCGTTTTAAAGTATTTTGGTTTTTATTACAGGGAATTTGGCAATGATGCTGTATTGGCATTTAATGTTAGCACAGAAATTTGAAGTATGCAAAGGTTAATAACAGGCGATGTGTTTTTTTGCTTTCTTCCCAGAACCAACTATTATGATTCATTTCAAGTAATACTCATAGGAGCATCTATATTTAATGTTGCTGAGTGCTTTCTTCTTTGTGAATATTTAAACTGGTATAATAACCTTCCAAGTATGCTGAGGACATTTTCATTGAGAGATAACTGTGCAGACCTTTTTCAGCCCTTAACTCTTTAAATCTTTGAGTATTGTTTTTATTTCAGTCTTTTATCTCCCAGTCAGTCACAGCTCTGTTAATGCTGAAAGTGACTGCTTTCATGGCATAAATATTCTTCAGGGCTTCCCTGATGGTCTTATTTTGCCTGATGTGTTTTAGGATTCTCCCAAAGCAAATGATAGTTGTGAAAGGAAGGCAGCAAATGTCCCATGTTTGTGTTTGCCGGAAGGATTTGTCTGTATCCTCATGAAAGCAGTGGCAGGCAGTTAGTAGATATATGTGTCTTGGAGAAGAGTTGCCTTACCTTGGGGTTCACAGAAGGTTCAACTCCCAGTTAATAAACCACAGGATTTTTCAAGGAGGGGCCGGGGATCCTGGCTTCTTGCCAGAGACCACACTCCATGGTGCTGGGCTCTACATACAAAGCATCAACTGTTGTATTCTCCACTCCGCCAGTCTGGGTCACTGAAAATAGGGGTTTCTACAGGCTATAACATTAGGCAGAAAACATTTCTGGCTGTTGGGAGATGAAGATGTCCTTTATGTGATGTTTTTTTTCTTTGCCTGTGCTGGGAAAGAATTTCCCGAAATTGAAATGTTGGAGAAACGAAGACTTAACATAGCAGGACTCCCCCGTCGACCTACTACTGGGGTCCAGTGTCATTGGCTATAGCAGGTTTGGACACCTTGAAACGTCTTCTTTTTTCATTCTCATATCACTAAGAACCAAAGAAAGTGATCTGCCCTTGGAACAGAAAATGGGGAGAAAGCCTGCAACTTTGAAGTGTGTGAGATGACCAAATCAAGTATTGTTACAGTGTCGTGAGATGTTGTCCTTTGTTCCATTGTGAAGCCCAGCTCTAGTGGACCTTTGTGAAACCATCGTCCTGGATGTGTTGGAGCCGATATGATGTTCTTCTTGTTGCTGGCCTGGTGACACTGGTCATCCCTAAAGATGTAGCAGTGCATGTTTTTTTAATTGATCAATGCTTGAGGATAGTGCTTCTTCATAAAATAGAGAACTGGCAGCCTTCAAATTTACTGAATGGTAGGACTATGGCTACCAACCAGAGCAAGATTAAAACCATGAACCACTGTGTGCACAACAGGTCACCCCTGGTGTGTTTTTAAGCTTATACATTCAGAAGATCATGTCAAAAAAGTATTTTCAATACACAAGACGGCATACATGATGCTCTCCTCATGTGGCCCTTAGCTGGCTTGGTGCCAGTTGTGCTGTTACGCTAAAATGAAGAACTAATGCGAATGTTTGCCTGACATTTGCTGAAGCTGCTCATGAGTGCATCAGGATTCAGGCTTTACTTCAGTTTCACTGCTGTAGTTTAATTGGCTCAGAATGCTTCTGTGCTCATCTACTTGCACTAAGTATGTTACAAGGCAGAAAAAGAAACTGCCCAGATATGTATACAGCATTTGAAATGTATTTTTAGAAAACAGTCTGGGACCTAATCCTAAAAGACATGATTCTGTTGGAATAACATGATGAATGTTATTTTAAGTCTGCTCTTCTGCCAAGAAGAGGTACGTCTGGCACCATGGAAGATTATGAAGTAGTTTAACGTCCCAACAACTAACTTGAATGGTATGATCAGTGGCAGAGACGTCTCTTTGGTGCTTTTTCAGTATTGGTTCTGCTGAGTAAGCAGCCTTCCTGCTAAGTCTTCTCTCATACTGAAAGTGCGTCATTAAGAGGTTTAAGTCTGGTCACATGCTGTTATGTTTTGAGCAATATCAGCTCATAAAGAAAATACTACTGTGATAGTTTCTTTTTAAATTAGCTGCTTTCCTTTTCCTTTCTTTCCAAAATAAAGCCTCCCTAAAAACACATGACCTTAATGCTGACAATTCAAATTGCCCTACAGTTCATTTTCAAAAGGAAGAAACTGTTAAAAAGGTTAAAAAGATATCCAAAATTCTGTTTCTTGAAGCTAACATGGTTATGCTTGTGCAAGAGTAAATGGATTAGTTTCTAAAATTAGCTTTTGTACATAAGCACTGATGTAGTGATGATATAGTGCAATATTGAGCAATCATACAGCACACTTCAAAGAGATAATATGCACCAATCCTTCTGTTCAAGTGATATGCAAACACTACTGTATTTGTATGTTCTTGAATTTTGTTATAGCTCTAAATTTTAAAGTAGTCTTTATTTTTTAAGTTATTTTAGATTATTCATACTAAGTGGAAACCTATTGATTTTCCAACAAAATCTAATCTCTTAGTATACCATGAAAAAGTAAAGTATTAAAGATATTAGGATTTGACGGCTGACCAATGAATTAAACAAGAACTCTTGTGGTTGTGATTAGTTTACTCTGCCTTGCAATCGCAATAAAGTCCTTACAGTCAACATGCAAAAGCTCTTCAGAGCTGTTGAGAAAGTGCTTATTTTTTAAAAAAACTTTGTACGATGTTTATAAATAACTTATAGTGAATAGTTTGATTCTATGGAAACAGCAACACAAAAATGGTGACATACATTCAGAGTGTCAAACATTTCTAGAGTACTTACTGTAAAAATACAATATATATATAATCCTTCTGTTAATTATGTGGTGTGTCATTGCTTACATTCTGATCTGAGCTCATACAGCATGTGGCAGCTGTGAAGTTCAAATGTAGTTCAGCCGACTGAGCATTCATTTCTCCTGCTAGAACCTTCTCGACCAGTAAGCCTTGTCCCTCCCTCCCTTTTGTCAATTTAGATTTTTAAAGGTAGCGTCTTTTGCCAATGGAGCACATTCAAGGAGCCTGGAAGACCATTAGCAATGGGTTTGGCCTGAAGGAGTCGGTGTTCGACGGTCAGTGCATGTCGCCCACCATTGTCCAGGGCTTCCCTTACCAGCGGCGCTCTTCGGATGATGGCAAAATCCCCGACCCCAGCAAGGCCAGCAGCACCATCCGGGTCTACCTGCCCAACAAACAGCGCACTGTGGTGGGTATGGGGTTGGGGATCCTCAGGGTCTTTGCCTTGCAAGGTGACCTGCTGCCAATTCAGCCAAAAGGAACGGAAATAGAATAGTTTTACAAAAAAGTTCTGTTTTTTCGAGATGCAACTTCCCCTTATAATTTCTTTTTAATATTTGGATTGTTTTGCCCTGTGTGGGTATGATTTGTGAGGTATGGCAGGTCCGTGCGAATGTGTATGGCATCATAAATATTTAAGTCAAATTAAATGATCAACCCACATCGCCATTCTTGTATCCAAAGACTCTTACTCCATTTACAGAGCACTGATACAAGGATGATTTCATCCAAAACACGTGGGAGTGGCGTGTCCTTAATATTGCAGAAAGAAAAGGTTTGAGCTTTCGGTGAAACCAAACAGTAAGGCACACCTAAGGGTTTCACTTTTTTTGCACAGCTTCATGTAGATTGTTCTCCTCTAGGTGAATGTGCGTCCTGGAGTGACCCTACACAACTGCCTCATTAAGGCCCTGAAAGTTAGGGGTCTCCAGCCAGAATGTTGTGCTGTCTTCAGGCTGCACCCAGGACAGAGAAGGTAATCATGAAGTGAGCGTACATTAGGCCCGGATTTGTTTTCAAGCTGCCGGGTTGCTTTGACTGGGCAGTTCCGTGACCCTTTCAGACCTGGAAAGAGCTTCCCATTGGATCTGTGTTTACTGTGTGGCTTGCTTGCTCTCTCGATACAGCAGAAAATCCCGCATGGATTGGAATACGGATTCTACCTCATTGATTGGGGAGGAATTGCTAGTGGAGGTTTTAGACCACGTACCCTTAACAACGCACAATTTTGTGAGTATCTTCAATCTGTAACTGGAAACCGTGAATTTGGTGTTTCTTTACATGTGGCTTAGTGGGCATACTAAAATGATGAGCAGTTCTACCATTCATAAGATGGTGAGCAGAGCTGTTATTTTTCTCTGAATGCAAAAACTGTTTTTGGCACCAAAGTATTTTTATTTTGGAGTGATTTGAGTTTTTGAAAACATTTTTTATGAGAAAAATTGCATTTGAATGTTCTGATGATTTAAGCATGCATTTTACCTGGTGTTAGACCAGCACAGCGGGGGACATAGAGTAAAACAGTTTAAACAAACAAGACATTATCTGTTGATCTCTGATAGGGAGAAGGATGTGGATGTACAGACTTGTTCTCTTATCATTTGCCTAAGTAGAAGTCTCTTTTTCATGTGGTGGGTTTTAACCTTCATGTGTAAAAACAAATTTGTTTCTATTCTCTGCAGGTCCGGAAAACGTTTTTGAAGCTGGCTTTTTGTGACATATGTCAGAAGTTTCTTTTAAACGGTTTTCGTTGCCAGACTTGTGGCTATAAATTCCATGAGCACTGCAGCACCAAGGTCCCTACCATGTGTGTGGACTGGAGCAACATCAGACAGCTTCTGTAAGTATCGCCTTATAATTAACATGGAAAACTAGCAAAACGTTAGAGGAACTGTTGCAAATTTTGTGGTTGTTGTAAACCCTTTTCCTTCTTCTGGTTTCCCTTTTAGCTTATTATAATGTTATATATGTGACTATTCAAAGAAAGCAGACTTCAGATATGAATGGTGAAGTTAAAGATATATTTTTACTAGTCTTGTAGTGCTATAGGCATCTTTTGGGTGTCAAGAGGGTGATTGTCATTAAAAACGTCATAGGCTATATTACTCTTGGCTTTAGTTACACCACAGTTATTCTGCAGTATTCATCAGTGGCTGTTTGCTGCATAGTTACAGGAAACTGAGGAGGAAAACACAAAATATGCTGCATGATTTTTTTTCTTAAAAACATGTTGACTAAAGCCAAGATTAAATCATAACTTCAAACCAGCAGCCAATAACAAATTGCAGACCTATGTGTGATGGTAGGTTTCCATTACGTTGGAGTACGAAGGCGAGTTTAAAAAAAAAAGTGCTATCTGGCACTAGGCTTTTGAATTGCGATACCAGAGATGTTTAGCTTCAAATTTTGGTTTCATCCTAGCCAGATTTAAAAAAAAAATGTTTTCTCTTCCCACAGTCCCACTAATAGAGGCAATATATCTTGCTTCTGAGTTGTGTGCATGCCAGTGTTGTATTGTAAATCAAAATGGATTTTGCATTGTTTATCTCTATAAACATCTATTTTTAGTTCACTGTGCTTTATAGATTGATATCAATGTAAATGAAGAGGCTTTAGCATAAAGGTAATTCTCTGTGGGTGCTTTATTTATAAACAGTGCATCTTTGTATAATAGGGGGAAGTCAGCAAAGTGTGATTTCCTTCAAATGTTAACATTATTGTTTTGGGCTTGTCTTTATGCAGGGCAGGCTTGTTATTTGTCTAAAGGTATTTTTGCTATAATAGACATACAGTAGACGAATGAATGCAGATGGTAGATTTTGCTTCACTTGCAGGCTAGCGTTAAGGTTAGAGGCTGATGTTGGAATACATGAATAAATAAGAGTGCAGTGTTTCTCTGTGGAGAATTTCATACAGAGTGGGATTCTCTTTTGATTTTCTTTCACTGAACTGACATGCTCTGTCTCAGATTGTTTCCAACTCCAGGAGAGAGTGGGGCCCCCTCTCTGCCTCCTTTAACTTCACGACGAATGCGGGACTCCCTCTCACGATTCCCCCCCAGGTAAGCAGTGTTTTTTGTGATTTCAACTTTTGCCATAGAAGCAGTGTGGAAGAGCAGGGTCCGAGCTTTGCAGTGTCAGGCTTAAGAAACTGATTTGCGGGGAATAATCTACGTCTTTTGAAAAAACAAAAGATCACGTACTTCACAATGGCGTGGAGAGTGCCTGGAAGCCGTGTCCAGAACGTAATAATTTCCACAGTGTAATTCTAGAATACTCAGCACTTCCTCCTTTTTTTATTTACTCTAATGAAAGCGGGCCAGCAGACGCAGATTGTGCCCTGTCATCGCTGCAGTGTGTTCCGTTGCTGCTTCCACGGTGATAAAACACAAAGCGCTTGCTAGTCAAGGGTGTGTCCAGCTAGCACAGCAGAAAAAGACAGCTCTGAAATTGTAGAGGGTTTGGTTTTTGTCCCGAGAGGTCCTGGTCAGAGCTTCTGTAAAATACACTTGTCTTAGCAAAGGCTCTATTAAAGACAGCAGTTTTGATTTCCTTTTCTGTGCTAGTTGCAAATGCAAGATGTTTCTCTGCCCTTGCCCATACTGCCCATTTAGGTGACCTAATCTAATTTATATTTGAAGATAGACAGCTTTTTTAAGGAGCACAATGAACTGGTTGACATGGTTTCTATTGCTCTTGTTTACCACTAAAATTATAAACTAAGATCCTTTAGAATCTCAGGAAAGAAAAGGTGCAATTGTTTTCTAAGCCTTTTCTGACTCTAACAAATGTGATGACTGGTAGGAGGGCTGTAGAGGAAAAAACCTACTAGTTTGAATTCTGAACATCCTTTCTCTGTTTTTCTTACAGCTCCCAGCACAGACATTCTACACCCCATGCCTTTAATTACATAACACCCTACCCACCCACAGGGGGAGCTCTTTCTCAGAGACAGAGGTCTACGTCCACCCCTAATGTCCACATGGTCAGCACTACCATGCCAGTTGACAGTAGCATCATAGAGGTAAACGACCAGATGAGAGATGATTTACTTGGTTTCGCTCGTGGTAGGTTTTTGGAACATTAATAAGGACTCATAAAATAATCAATATAACCGTAACAAGACACCAAGATGACTATTTTAAAAGTGATGGAATCTTAAGGACTTATGTAGCCCTGTATAAAAATTCCATGTAATTCAGAGCATGATGTTGGCCCTGAAGTATTTGTGCAAAGCATCCATGCACAAAATGACCAAGACGTTTTTAAAAATGTACCAAGGGAATAGTAGCTTCACTTCACAGTGACAGGAGCAGGAATGTGTTGAGAAGTAAATGATATTTATTTCAGTGGATCTACTATTTCATGGCCATGGCTTTTGATTTGTTTTGGTTTTATTTTTAAGTAAGTTATCTCCCCCCCCGTTCTGAAACACATTTCGCTTTTGCACTTCTCCTGCCTCTTTCTTTCCCGCCTGTTTTAGATGGTTTAGTGCTGGAGAGGGTTGGAATGCCTGCTGGGTGCCCTGTTTTCCACAAAAAGAAGAAACGAAAGGCAAGGCTTCGAGACAGGGCCCCACAGGTGCCACCCTGTTCAGCAGTCCTTTTCCTTCTTTTTATCGCTTTCGTTTTCTTTCATTCTCTCCTCTGTTCTTCGCTCTCCTTCCCCTTGTGCCGTGGCGTGGAGTAGCTAGATTGCCTGAATGCTTCACCTAGTTCCTGGTGTCGGCGATTTTGCCTGAGAGGAAGAGTAGGTATTATTTGCTTCTCCACTGCTTTTGCTGCAGCTACCCGAAAAATAAGGGCAGTAAAGATTACAAATGAGCACTCTTTGCTCCCAGGCCGCAGTTATGAGACAGAGACATGGTTCAGTCTTTCAGCATTTCCACACAGGGAAGCTGTCCATAATGTGGAAACATTTTCAGTACTCATAATTAACAGCTAATTAGAGTTAAGGAGTGTTCTTCTATGTAGTGTTTTAGCCTCCAAGGCATCGCTTTAGAAACTGAAGGGGAACTCTAAATTTAGCAAGGGTGTGCCACTTGAGAACATTAAGTTCATTTTATTTTAAATATTTAGGTTATATAGTATTTCTTTAAAAAGAGCTTTCAGAGAAACACAGAATGGTAAAAGCTTCTGATATTGAATAGATGTGGTTAATGTGTAAGTGAACCCTTTACTTTTTCTTCACTTTGGAGGTAGATTGCAGCTGAATATTCCACGTCGCAAACAGGAACCCCTTTGTCTTGTTACTGTTATTTGTCTATCTTGAACAGTTACATCTCAGTGTTCTTGTTAAAAAGGCCAGTGTTTTGGAGTGTCTCCAGTAAGTCTTAGGTGTGGCCCCCACAATGTTCTGCACATTTCGGAATGAGGAAGCTTTTAGCACCACATTAGTTATTTCACTGCCTGAGCAGAATATTGCCCACATATCTCAATCAACTTGTACAAAATGTTCCCTGAAGATAAAACGCAGCTGAAGGTGATGCCCTGATTGGTGTTTTAACTGAGGTGCGTCTCAGTGCAACAGATTGTATTTGAGCTTTCATTTAAATCTAAAAGAAATGTCATCGTCCACTTAATTACATTTTAAAAATCACTGGATTTTATGGGAATGCTTTTTGTTTTCTGATCTTTTTTCTCCTCTTTTTCTAGGATGCAATCAGAAGTCACGAATCAGGTAATAGTTTAACAGTTCATATTTTTCTGGTTATCTGATTTGCCCATTTGCTTCTACTTTAATACCAGGATGCGTTTCTCCTAGTCACATTGCACATCTCTTACAGGGAGCCCCACCAGTCAGAGTCCGACTGGCTGGTCTCAGTCCAAAACCCCTGTGCCTGCTCACAGAGAGAGAGCCCCTGCTTCCAACACGCAAGAAAAAAACAAAATTGTAGGTCCTGTTGAAATTTGCATGATTCAGCTTGGTAGAAACAGACCATCTATCTATAATTTCTTCTTTTAATCTGATACTTTACTTGATATTATGAATGTGTGTCATTTACAAGATGTTCTTTAGAGGTTAAACTTGTAGATCCCTGTTTGCATGTGTACAGCATTTGACCCTAAAGTGGGGCATAACATTGTCCTAAAAAGCTTCATTACACTTAAATATTGTTGGATTTTGCCATCACTGCTTGAAAGTGTGGTGAAGCAAATTTGGAGAATAGTAGCTAATTCTGTTTGCCCTCTTTCAGCGACCAAGGGACAAAAGAGATTCCAGCTACTACTGGGAAATTGAAGCCAATGAGGTCATGCTGCTATCTAGGATAGGCTCTGGCTCCTTTGGGACAGTGTACAAGGGGAAATGGCATGGTAAATGTTTTCCATAAAAATGAAAACCATGTTGCATTGCATGCCCTGCCACTGTGCAGTGCCATTGTTCAGAATGAGCTTCACTACGACAGCAGATCATCTAAATATGGATTATTGTTTAAACAGAACACCCAAGCAGTTCTGGTAACAGAAAATGTGATTATAGTAAACCTATTTAGGAGGGCAGACGTCAAATCCTGTGGAAATAAGCTATACCATTACTATATCAGTATCATTTGGAGGAATTAGAAATGAGACTTTTACAGATCCTACAGCTGTCATATTTAGGAAGAATGTTTTGTTATATTCAGTTCAAAAACCTATAGAATAATCTTAAATTTTGTTCTTGATGGGGGCGAGACACAGCATTTCTCTGTGGTGTGTGAAACTCTAGTAAACAGAGGAACTTTTTCGCGTAGGTGATGTCGCTGTGAAAATTCTCAAGGTCACTGATCCAACGCCAGAACAGTTTCAGGCCTTCAGAAATGAAGTGGCAGTCCTGAGGTAAGAAATGAGGGGAACAGACCTAATATTATCCTAGGGCATTTAAAATCGTACAGGAGTTAGTTCTGGAATGAAGAGCTGTTTCATACATCTTTGTTTAAAAGGTGACAAAGGAGGCATTTTTAGAACAGAATCAAGGAGTGAAGGATTTTTGTGGGAAGAACTGTGTGGCTGTTGGCACCAGTTATCGAGGACCTAAGAATGGGATCCCATCTTACTTTAAAGAAATGCCTGTATTTCCCTAATATTTGTCATCTTTAAAGGAAAGTGCATTGAGCCAAATGATGAGTAAGGTCAGGTAAATCCCCACCTCAAGGGAACAATAAACTAAACTGTGCTAAAGAGAGTGATTGAAACTTCTGTATACCATATAAACAATAGACAAATGAGGCAAAGAGATTTTACATCTTTATCTTACCACGATAAGAAGGAAGGTCTTTAGCGGTAATAAAGGAGGAATTTTTTCATCTGTCATCCGTCGATAACAGTCCCTTTCACTTTTTCCATACAGAAAAACAAGACATGTCAACATTTTATTGTTTATGGGCTACATGACGAAGGACAACTTGGCCATCGTGACACAGTGGTGTGAGGGCAGTAGTCTTTACAAACACCTGCATGTCCAGGAAACAAATTTCCAGATGTTCCGGCTCATAGACATCGCCAGGCAGACTGCGCAGGGCATGGAGTAAGTGCAGCCAATGTTAAAAGGTGTTTAGCAAATATGCCTTCCACACACACAGTTTGTAGTGGATTGACCAGGGTCGATCTCTTTAAGCTCTCATTAGATTTTACAGTTGAATTTGTTTATGGTCTGTTTCTGAGACCTCTCACACAAAGCCACACTCAGATACACTGTTTAAAAAACAAATGCAATTTTATGATGCTATTATTAGATCCTTCGTACTGATGAGAATCGGCTTGTTTTTTACAGCTTTTTTTTGGGGTTAATACATCACCCTTGCTGTGCCAACCGGTTTGTGGTTCAGAGTGTTCTCTCTGTGTGGCACACAGCTCTTCCTGTTGTGGTTTATCAACATCCCTGTAGAACAACACGATAGTGGTGGTTTTTTTTTTCATTTTTTTCTTATAACCCAAACAAATTTCCCATCAGTGATTGCAGACCACATATAAGCAAAGAGAAGCAACTTTAAGTCTGCTTCTTTAATAATTTTTCTGTGCTGTTATGTAGTAAAATGTGTGCGTATAAAATGAAGAGATCACAAGTGAATGAAAGAAAATTGCGTTAAGTAGATTCCTCTACTGTGGTTTTTGTACAAAACATTTTGCGATACTTTGTGTTTTTATTTTAACAGTTTTTTCCCCCCTCTAGCTATTTGCACGCTAAGCATATTATCCATCGGGACATGAAATCAAACAGTATCCTTTTCTTGATCATTGCTTGACACTGTCATGTCTTGACAGATGTTATGAGAATCCTGAATGGTTTTCTGGAGGGAGGAGATGGTTAGGAGGAGTGGACTACTAGTCATAAATGTGAAAACTGCTACACCCTCATAACTGCTTAGGTGCAGAAAAGCACGTATCTTCACTAAAAACTGACACAATTGACATGTTTCTGGGCTAGTCAGATGCTGCTGTCATTATTAACCTTGTCTTACGCCAAACTTGTATCATAAAGCCTTTACATTGGCAAGCAAAAGGGAGCTGATCTTCATTTTTTAGTTATCGTGTCAGATTGATAATCATCTTCGGTTTGGGGTCTAATGAGGATCGCGAGTAAGGTTTTGATGCATTCAAAGTTCAATCCAGGAGCTGGAGTCGCTCCTCAAAATGCAGCGTGTCAAGTTAGAGCACACAATCCCAGAACTGGGAGGCCAAAAGGAATCCTTGAGCCCTGGAGCTCAGAAGCAACAGCAGTACCTGTCATTAAAAGTTAAGATTTGCAGATCCTCCTAGGAATTGTACTTCTATACAGAACACAGAAGAGAATTTCTGACAGAACCCATCCTTATTCTGTTCTAGGAAACCATACAAAATGCCCAAATGCCGTGACATTTGAAAACTCAAACATAAAGTATGGATTTGTAATTGAATGATGCATAATGATCTTGGTTCCCTCAGTCAGGAAAGGCTGTGATTATTGCAAACCATTAGGTGTACAGTATATTGTCCTGAGCATGTGTGAAGATATCTTCCTGCATGAAGGGTTGACAGTGAAGATTGGGGACTTTGGACTAGCAACAGTAAAAGCGAGGTGGAGTGGTTCTCATCAAGTTGAACAGCCTTCAGGGTCTATACTGTGGATGGTGAGTAAGTGAGCACGCTTGAAGTGTGTTACGTCTTTACTGAATCTACACACTGTATATTTAAGTACACAGGCATAAACCTTCAAAAATGTCATCTAACGGGGTTATTAGTTTTAAAAGCTAAGTTTAAAACAGCACATCTCTGAAATGACCATAAATCAAAGTTTTTTTTTTCCTAAGAATCTGATCTCTTCTGAATTTCTTTAGTTTGGTCCATCAGTTTGGAGATAGTGTTTTAGTTTGTGTTCAGCTGTGATGTTAGAAACAAGTGGAAGGTAAACAAGATGGTTCTCAGTTTGAAATTTATAGATTAAGAAGAAGGTTAAGGAAGAACTTAAAAGATATTGACATGCAAATACAGCCACAGAAGCACAACAATTCCACGTGTATAAGCACCAAAATGATACAAATGATGAATTAAATAGAAAAAGAAATCTAATTTGGACTTTCTCAGTAAACAATTCTGGTTAAGGATTATGTCATTTCTGAATTGTCCTAACAAGTAATATAAATGTAGAATAGGTTTAAAGCTAATAACACTAGTTTGTGTGGATTTGGCAGAGGAAGAGTCATAAACTAGATGATATCCTTTGCATTATCACCACTATAATATTAGCAGTACATAAGAAATACTGCATTGTATTTTTCCATTTGTAGTACCAACCATTTAAAAGGACAACTTTAGCTACAAAGAGAGGGGGTTATATAAATGAACCCTGTGTTACGTTTGTTCACATTCCAGCTCTTTATTTTCCATGTAATTTTCTAAAATAAACATGACAGAGAAGTGGCTTTTATTTTGGAAAAGACGTAGCAGGAAAGAGATGTTGTGATCTTATCGTTTATAGGTTTCTCAAGCCATGCAGAAAAGGGAAGAATGAGTTCAGCAGCACTTCAAATCAGATTTGCTCCATTCCTTAGCAGTTATTTTAAACAACAGAGGTGAAACCCCCACAGAAAACATTTGTACTGTATGGGAGTTTTTCCCCATACAGTATTTTATTTTTTCTCACCTTTTTATTTTATAATTCCATTCTCTAGTATGAGATTGAAACATACTGGCTGATATCAGTTGAGATTTCATAGAAGGCAGGTTTTTGTACTTCATCACAACCAATGTCAACTAAGCCTCCTAGAGAAAGACTTAATGGCTAAAGAACTGCATTCTGAGGAAGATAACAAAGATGGTTACCTGATGTGCAGATAAAGGGGGCTAAGTTTTTTTTGTACCAAAAATAATGGTATGAAACACCTCCATCTTAGAAAAATCTGAGAAAAAAATCTTTGTTCTTACTAACGTGTTTTCTCAGCTCACCTAGTCAACACTAGTGTCTTATATTTGTTGCAGTCTCTTGATTCAGTTTTTCAAATTGAGTGAGAGAGCCCTATTCAAAAATGTTTGAAATTATTTGATCATAAAAGCTTAATAGCTCCCCAAATAAAGGCTAATTTAACCTTTAACCTTTAACCTCCCCAAATAAAGGTAGATTTAAATAGTGATTTAGTATAGGTATCGTTCACAAGGCTAAGTGGATTTCAGTGACATAATAGCAAAAGCATTATTTTTCCATCCTTAAAATATCTTACCCCATATTTAAAAACATAGAGAAATGATAAAAAATAATCTTTTCTGAGAACAGACTATATACAAATCTAAAAATGGAATACCAGTTTAACCATACCTTAATCTCAGATGAGTAAAAGATTTCTTAATATAATTAAATGTTTTAAACTTAAATTAAATAGGAGTGTCAAATGAACAACCAGTGTTAGCTTTTCTGTATGCTACAGCTGTTTTGTACAACAGCTCATTGCCCTACAAACTGTGGTTTATGCTTTCTTAAGCATTCTGTTTGCCTTTTTATTACCAGGCTCCTGAAGTCATTCGGATGCAGGACAACAACCCTTACAGTTTCCAATCTGATGTGTACTCCTATGGGATTGTTCTCTTCGAGTTAATGACAGGAGAACTGCCTTACTCGCATATAGCCAGTCGAGATCAGGTAAATCATCTACTGAGAAATGTAAAACAAGTTGCTAATGGGTTGCATCCAAGGTTTTGTTTGTAACGTTTAACAAGGGCACTTTTAATCTTGCTGGGGTAATGTCTTGTTTACAGCTTTTTATGGAAATGCCATCCTTAGGAAATACGAAGGGATTTGCATTCAAATTCAAATATTAAGCCTTCTCAGTAGACCTGAAGGTGAAACTGCTGCAAGGCTGCGGAGCTACAAAAGGAGTGTGAGGACAGAAGAATCTCCTAGATTAACTGATGGATACATTTTAAGGGCTAAATTTGTAATGTTTCCATGAACCAGGACAGCGAACGTGAACAGGTGGATTAGTCTGTGTGTGCCCCTGAACACACCATATAGTTCACCAGCATGAATGTAACTCTCACACGCCAAAGCCTTGTGGAATGTAACGCCTATCTGTGTTCGCACTGGGACATTTTGGTACGTTTTCTCTTTCAAGCTCGAGGTTACTTAAGCTGTAAAGCAAATATCACAAGTCTGAAAAACTTAAGCATCACAGCCTTTTTAATTAAAACAAATACTTCTCAGTTGTTCTTAGTTTCTTTTAAACTAAGAACAGCAGCATCTTCGGTTATTAAGATTTAAACCAATGGCATGTTACACGTAAAAACAGTTTTGGTCCTGAAGAGTAAAAGAGAAATGTATGAAATTATCCGGACACGCTCCTCATACTGGGGGACACATTTTTGGCTCCTTGCCGAGTAACCTGCTTGGCTTCCAGAAAGAACCAGGCTTTTTTTTAATGTCAAATATTTTTTGAAGAGATAGATTGCAAAATTTTTAGGTTGCCTTGTCGTTTGACGCGTATGAACACCCACAATCATCAAAGTGCAGCTGTCGGATTGTCTGCAACATTGTTTACAAGAGCATCTCCAGTAAGAAGAAGAATCCTCTCGCTGGCTGTTGGCCCACAACATGACTAAAGTGGTCACCCTGGAGCCACAGAACTAAATTTAGGCTAGGGAAATAAAAACACTGTCTCTTGTGACCACAGGATGAAGCTCATTGGGGCCTCAATCTTTTGTTTGTTGTGCTGGCATTCCTATGGTCTCTTTACACATTATTTTTATAAATATCTGGCTCAAGGCCCATTCCTTTCTGCTGTCGTCATCTCGAATGATGGAATGGTGCCAGGGCATTGCTGTCTTCAAATTCAGGTTCATGTTTCTTCTGATCTCAAGAGGTCTTTTTTTTTCCTAAAAAGGCTACTGCCATATATTTACTTTATTGACACGTACACAGTAAGCCAAGTAGACTTTTTCTACTTGCTTTTCAAAACTCTTGACTCTTGACTTTGTTTGCTCCTAGATCATTTACATGGTTGGGAGAGGGTATTTATCTCCAGATCTCAGCAAGCTGTACAAAAGCTGTCCTAAAGCCATGAAGAGGCTTGTAGCAGACTGCATCAAAAAGTCAAAAGATGAAAGGCCTCTCTTCCCTCAGGTAGGGTGATTTAATGGGGGAGACAAAAAAAACCTACCGTCAGTGCAGGATTGTAGTTTAAAACATTATCGAGAAATATCACTTGCTAAAGTTCCGTTAGTAATTTTAACATAGCAGAGCAACATTTTGTACAGCTGTACTTCATTTTAAACAAATATTACATAATGTCTTTAACAGGCAATGGATCCAATATAGTTCTTTAAGCAAAAATTCTAAATGTTTAGCATTTACCTGCTGTTCAAGCTAGTATGTGGACATAACATTTGTGACATATAAAATCTGTTACTATCTAGCCCAATGAACTTTTTTTAATTTGAGATTTTTTAGTATTGAGGAAGGTGCTGACCTTATTCGCTATGATCCCATGTCGACTGAAACCAAGAGACCTAAGACAGGGCATCCTGTGTTCTGTATTTCAGATTTTGTCATCTATAGAGCTGCTGCAGCACTCGCTCCCCAAAATCAACCGCAGTGCCTCCGAACCGTCCCTTCATCGAGCTTCGCACACAGAGGACATTAACTCATGCACTTTGACCTCCATGAAGCTGCCGGTTTTCTAGCACAACCTTCTTCTCCAGCCCAAGCCAAATACATTAAGCTGAAAAAAAAAACCCAGTGCAATGCATAGTGTGTGTTTACAAACACATACGTATATATTCATCGTACCCATGGACAGCAATCCAGAGCCAATGTTGAGAACTGTAGGAAAGAAGGGGCTGTGGATTACTATGAAGAAAATACAGCTTTTTGTTCTCCCAAGTTTACATCACTTACATATGGATAGCCAGACTACAAGGTGAAGACGGCTAGTGAAGAGTTTCAAGCAGTGGAAAGAAGAAAAACTAAAACTCTTAAGTCTGTTTCATAATTGTGCTGAAGGATTTAAATTGACCCCCCCACCCCCTTCAGTTGGATTTTAATAAGCTTTTTTGTTGACATAGATGTTCCAGGGATCATTAACTTATTTTAGTGCTTTTTCCCACTTGAATTAGATTGTGCATAGACTTGATGAAACAGTACATAAAATCCCTTCAGTGGACGAGTTGTATTTTTAGCACTCTCTTATATGAGAACTAGCATAACATGCTGCATTTCCCAATTTACTAAAATACTTTCGGACCTGTTTTATGGTATGATCTTTACTACATAGGTAAAATTAGGGAAACGGTTACTGTATTTTCCTGGCCCCTCGTTATAAACAAAATGAATATTTTATGGCGTTGGCTCAAAATTGTATTTGTAATGATTTTGCTTCTAGAGCTGTTTAAAGTCATACTCAGTGCTGTCTGTCTAGGGGTACACTGTCATGGGAAAACTGTGAGAGGATATGATATGACTGTTTTTAGTGTCTTCAAATGATTTGGGATTTTAATTTGTTTTCGGTCTTCTGTTGCTTCTTAAAGAGGATAAACTTTTTATTGTAAACAAGAATATTGTTTATCCAGTGTATTTTAATAAAATTAAGTTAAATAGTTTTTGTGTGTGTTACTGTGATGACAAAATGTCTTATACCTCAACCAGTATACAGTAGGTGTTCACCTAAGAGCAAGTTGAGTTCAATAATTCCAGGTTCGTGTTGGGATGACGTCACTAGCCAACTGTGAGTGGGACTGTGAAACCTTAAGGTGTCCAGCCAAGGGTAGTGGGCGATTAATCAGCCAGAGCTCGGTCTCTGTGCTCACAGCTGGAGTCTTCTGAACACACAGCTCTCCCCTAATTCTACAAAAATGACATCTTTTCATAGGTGGTTACTCATACCTTCTTTACCTATCCCTTGCACTCAAGACATCATTGTCATGTATAAAACTGAGGTGACCAATAAGGCAATTATGGGGTCTTCAATTTCAATAAAGTTGAACATTTGCCTGGGAGGACAATGGGTCTCGTAGTGCCTAATCTTTTAATGGTGAGCCATCTTCATCGCCCCTTTCTGCTTCATTGTTTTAACACTTCATGGTGGAAAAGGGGCAGACTCCTTTCCAGATGTTCTTCTTTCATCTGGTTGGGGGAAAAAGCCGTAATTCATAATTCGCTGAGATCATAGTTGTATTTCTTCATCTTTTACCGTGGCTTTGAAATGCTTCTTTTGGTAGCTGAGAAGAGGTAATTGTCTTTGAGAGCCAGGAAGCTGACACCAGGATGAAATGTATAACCTGATGAAACTGATTATAGCTTCTATGCCCATGCTCATCAGGAATCTGAATCGATGGCATGGATTTTTAGCTTGCTGTTGGAGAATTTTGTTATCCTCAATATTAAAGCCAAGTACCATTTGCTGAGATACCTCATTAAATCTGTTCATTCTCTTTCCATTTTCTGTCAAGGCACCTACTGCAGCTTCAATGCACATTATTCCGTGATTGGAGTCAGGATGGTTTTTATTTAGGAATATTGAATATCCAATTGTTAGCAGTGGATTCAGTATTGAACAGATCTTGAAAAAGCCCCTTCCAATCAAGCTGAGAGCCTCCTTTTCCTTGATCAGACTTTCCTTTTCCTTATGTTTCTAGTGACCAGTCCCAGGGTACTTAAGCCAAGAAATATTTCTGCAAGATATTAAATTCCCCACCGCCTTTTGTAATGTCACTAGTTCTCCTTTGAACCTCCCTCTTGTTAGTTGGTGGGCCAGCATCTTATGCTTGGAGGTTGGGTTGTTCTGCTGGGGGTGAAAGATGACTGTGCAACTTCTTTGATAATGCAGAAACCATTTCACACAAGCTATAACCTACATCCTGAAATAACGAGACCCTGCTCCAATGACAGACTGGAATTTTCATTCTGCTGAGATATTCCAGGTGGTATTCATCTGTTCTGCGATTGAGGACATGGTTTCCAGACTGCAGGCCCAGGAGCATGCAGGAATCCTAATAACTAAAACAGATCCAGGATTGAAGGTGTGTTTCAGTACTTCTTCACCCTGTCAAGCTGACCCTACCTTATTTAATAATTGCCTGTGTTTGGTGGTGAAGTCAAATGAGTAAACTTTGCAACACTGGCATTTCTATAGTAGGCTCTAAACAAACTTTAAAAGCCAAATGATAGTATGCCTAACATACAAATTCACATACTATATTTGCTCTAAGCAAAGAGAGACTCATGTTGCTATAAAAAATTTTGTTCCCCTGTGCTTATATAACAATCTAGAGTGATTCTTACTCCTACAGGACTGTTTCTACATTAAAGACAATTCTTACCTGTTTTATAATGAACTCAGTCAATTTACAGTTCACATGGAGGACAATCTGGAAGCAGTAATCAACCCTTAATTATTGTGATCAATGCATACAAGTTGGCCGCCACTTAAAAAAAAAAGTGATTTCTGTGCAGTAAATTTTATTTCTACAAGCCACCCATTTACATTTTTAAATTGCTACTGTACATACGAAATTACCCCATTGTGCTGCTTCCACTGCTCCAACACAGAACACAGAGGACCTGGTAGGTTCGTTATAAATTATTTAAATCTGGCAAACAGTATTAAGCATCTCAAGAAAATATAGCAGATTTTTACTTGCAAAGTTTCTGAAAATGTTACCGGTTTCCTTTCACCATGAAGCACCAGACTTAAAAAAATACCGTACACGATAACTCCCAGCCACCTGCTGGCTCCCAGGAGAATACATTTTATTGCCCCCAAGTTGAGGCCGAATTTTGATATGTTGTTGTGGCCTGAAGTAAACCACCACTGCGGGGGGGGGGAAAAACACGAAGATGGGTCTGACAGCTGTTAGCCAGGGAGCTCCCTCCTCCAGTCCACTGAGCAGAGCACCGGGGCTGTTGGGAGTGGAGCCGGGCCGGCCCTCACTGCGAGGCGGGGGCGCCGCCCTCCCCGTCGGCCCCAGACAGCTGGAGGAAGAGCTCCCCCAGCTCCGCCACCGCCTCGTCGTCGGGCTGCCTCGCCCCCCGCTGCTCCCGCTCCTCGATGAAATCCCACAGCCGCACGGCGTTGAGAAACTGCGGGGCAGCAGAGGAGAAGGGGGTCTGACACAGCCGGACGCGCACGGGTCTTGAGCATTTCGGAAGGACGGTGAAACTGAAATGAGTGCACGCACCCGCCCTAACAAAACTGCTTTCGAGCTAACTTCACATGCCCAGATGTGACCTACACGGTGGCATCCTTCTATCCATATTAAAGGATCCATTAGCTAATATGAAAGTATAACGAATTGCTTTTGGATTCTGTGTTTGTGTTGGAGATGGAAGTGAGACCTTAGTTATCCCTAATTTTGCAAATTAACTTCAGATAAAAAAAAAAAACATAGGATCACCTATATGTAAATCATACGCTTGAAAAAATAGCCAGCATGGATTTAGATAAGGTAGGTCTTGACTAACCAACTTGTTAAGAGTGCTTTGAAGAAGCAACATTAAATGGATACACACAGACAATATGATACAGTGTACTTCGATTTTGGTGATGTTCCTTATACAGGCAGTAAGCATTCGAAGGTGTTTGGATAAGGGGGGAATTCTCAACCTGGGGCGGTGTAATTAGTGGAGTACCACAAGGGTCTGTACTAGGACCAGTGCTTCTCTTAGAACAGTTACTTATGGAAAAAGACTTGGGAGTTTATGCTGACATGAAGTACACCTTCTAGATAATGTAGGGAATCAATTAAAATATAGAATTAAAATCAATGTTAAAATTGCATAACGCAATAGTAAGGCCTATTTTAGAATACTGTATACAATTGTGGTCATCTCATTATAGAAAAGATATCGCTGCTCTCGAGCCTTCTCTGGTTTCTGAGACAAGCACTCCAGGGTTTAAGGGAATGTCCTACCGCACATCGACAAGCTCAAGAAACTGATCCGCGAAACGAGGAACATGGTGCGTACAGAAGTGGGGGAGGCGAGGGCGATCTTACCCGAACGTTGCCCTCGGAGCTCAGCTGCTTGCGGGGCTTGTCAGGCTCAGCACGTGTGCCATCCGGGTATGCGTGCATGTAAAGGCACTTCCCACCAAATGGACAAGTCCCTCTTCCCTGCTCAAAGTATTTACAAGGCTTTTTGCTGAAAGAGATGGAGGGCAAAGTGATGTTAAAATGGAAGACATTGGTGACGACGCATTGCCTGCTAACCGATAGGGCTTCCAACTTTCGGCAGCACGGCTGGTTTCCGTCTGCATCCAACACAAGTTCGAGGTGATGTCTGGAAAGGCTCATGCCTTCATTTCACTCATTTCCAAGAGTAAAACAAGAAGTGCATTAGCAAACAAAGGAAGCTGAGATGCAGGGCCTCATATACAACATTGTACACGTTTTACATCTGATGAAACATTTTCAGAATCAAGGAGTTAGTATCACTAAAATAAAAAATGACTAATCTTTCTCGTCGAGTGTTCGGTTTTATTCCTTTCCCAAAACTATACATTCAGTTCTGGCTTCCATTAGATTGACGTGATTGAGGAACTAAAGTCAGTAATACGCAGACAAATGTTTAAGCTAAACAGCTTTAATACACCACAAATTGAACATGACATGCAATGACTCATTTTTGCAATTCTTTACTACTTCCTTAGACATTTCGATTTCCAACACAATTCACACTAATTCTCGAGTTAGGCAAGATAGAAGTCTCCAAAAATAAACAAACAGGCCTTTAACACACTCATTGGAAGCTTCTAAACCCGTTTTGAAAATTATTTGATGCTGCAATTAATACTACTCCTGTTTGACCCAGCACAATACCTTTGTTTTCTCAGACAAAAATCCTGATATGCAGGAGTGCACAATGAAAATAAAAAAAAAAAACTTTGGCTATGAAACAAAAACAAATGAGGTCAGTGTGACAGATGAAGGAGACAGCGCTGCAGGGTTTAACAAGCTGAAAAGTTTTGTTGCAAACAATTCATCTTAACCCTTACAATTAGCTCACAGGCTTGTAGAACTGTCATACCATTCCTGTAAAATAACTTTTCAAATTATAATTAACGTAACAAAGCACACATTCTTACAAAATTTGGCTACATTACAATGACTGTAGATTTGTCAAATCACAAGCTTCCCTTTGTGAATCAGCTGTACTTAAACTGAAACAAAGTTACGTTTGATCAACTTTTCTCAGCCAGAATCATTCATATGGAAATATTTTAAACCCGTCCAAGCTCTCAAAGATTTAGCTTTTAGAAATGAACAAACTGAATTAATGCATTTGTTAAATCTATTCTACAGCAGAACTTCCATTTTGAATTTCAAATGTTTCTTTAGTAACGGTAAATTCAGGGATGTTATGGACAGTCAGATTACTGAATACAATATGAACAAATCAAAGAGTCATATTGTCTACATTCAAATCTGTTTTAGCAGGTATATTGAGAAGATGTTAAATGCTGACTACAGCTTATAATACTGCTAGGTTTTCAAGAGCACCTTGACTACATGCAGTACAGATCTGACTGTGAATGGTTATAACTCTAGAAATAAAATTGGCTTCACTTCATCTTTGATACAAGCCATAAACTAGATTTGCTTCAGCCCTATAAATAGAACTTGCTTGCTATTTAAAACTCATCTGTTTTTCATATAATACCAGCAGGATACTTATGTCATTAAACAAAAAGCTTTACGTGTATGTGACGGACAAAACAAGGTATTTCCAGTTAAACACAAGCTTTTAGCAACAACTTTTACGAAAGGTTTGCTCCCTTGCTAAACCTCACACAGCTGAAAACACACATCAGACAGAATGGAAAACAAACAACCATGGAAATCTATTCTTATATCACACTCTGGCACATGCAAAAATTCATTCCATAGGTGCAAATTTCTTTCAGATGTCATTCCTTGTACTAAGGAAACAATCTTAAATATCAAAACATTTTTGTAGTGTACAGCTCAGATCGAGCCGGCGCGCTTCATTTTAAGATGAAAAGGGATTTTCCCCTCTGTGTCAACAAAACCAAGTATCTTCCAAGCAGGAGCTACAAAAAAAAAAAAAGTGTGGCTGACATCTAAACTGGAGAAGCGCTGCCAAGATCTCCACACTGACCTTTGTATTTCTATTTCTGTTTAGGCAAGGTTAATGGAAACGTTAACCTTCAGCACACCTTAGAATACCGCGCAATATTTCCATGACCAATACATGCCTTTAAACACGCCATCATCAAATCCTGAATTTCCACGTTTTTTCACAGATTATAATAATGGAGGAGAATCACACATTGCACACAGAAAAAAAAAAGAGTGCTGAAACAACAAATAACTCTCCTTCCAAACACAATTTTCCAATACACAGAAGTTATTTGTTCTTAATTGACCGACATCTAAAACTTTCTTTGCAGTCACGGCTTTTGAAACTAACTAAACCATCTGGTGAAGAGCACGCATGCTGAATGTTACACTATTATCTGCAAGAGAGATCAAAAATGTTTAAATTGTTTGAAATCCAAAACTTTGTAAGTAGGTCAGTGCCGATGTGGCAATTCTCCCACTAGATGGTGCTCTTTTCTTTAGCCAGCACCTTGCTGAAAATTCAAGTGGCACCTGTGATGGATTATGGAGTGCTCAAAACAAAAGCATATAATGGGATAGTGGAAGGCTAAAATCAATTATAACTGCAACAGATCTGTTTGCAAAGGCCACACGGTGCTCACTGGACACTACAGAAAGAATAAAAATGACTTCGACGCACAGGACAGTCAAATGTTTCATAATGCAACACGATGAAGTTATGTAACCAAATTGAAATTTTGTCTTTCAAGTAATGCAAGATACTTCTCTGACCTCACTCCAGCTTTGAACTCTTCAATAAGCCTGTTCTTCTCATCCTGGTCTTCCACCCAGTACGAGCTAGGAATAACAAACTCCGACACCACACGGCATTCTGGGCATGACCTGCCACAAAACCAGGAAGAAAAATGCCTTTCAGTGAACAGTACAGAACAAGAAAAAAAACTGTATCCTTCAGAGTCAAATCCACTGTTCTTGACAGAACCGGTTCCATGAGATATGAATTGATGAAGGCTCACAAAACTAAATCATAGCTCTCGGAGTCTCTCTGTTCTAGTTGCATTTCCCAACTATTATATAATCTTTTCTTCTCTTTTCAGCATGAATTAAGCTTTTACTTGTTCTATGGCAGCCTATGCATGCTGACGCAGCTACCTACTTGAACTACTTCATTATATATACACTGAATATATATTATTTCCTTCTCCATCTTATGATCTTACGGGAAATCTCTGTCCTCTTTAATTGTATTTTTCAGGGTTAATTCAAAATGGCAAAGGGGGTGCATGAATTGCAAGGGGGAAGCAATGTCTGTTTCACAAAACCTGTGATGCGACATCCGCTTTTTAATCATTTCTAAAACTGATGTAAAACTGACGTATATCACTTTGTTTGAGCAATCCTGTGTACACCAAAAAGGTTTTCTACCTATCATGTTGTTGTATCAGTTGTGAACATTTCTGAACAAAACTATATAGCAAAAATGCAAAATACCATTTGTACTATGCTTTTTTTGTTATCTATGTTTAAAACTGCGGTGGCACAGTGGTGTTAGGGGGCTGGGTACAATTTCGGACCTGGGATGCCATCTGAGTGGTGTTTGTACGTACTGCACCTTCTCGTGTAATAATAATAATAATAATAATAATAATAATAATAATAATTGCTTATACTTATATAGCGCTTTTTCTGGACACTCCACTCAAAGCGCTTTACAGGTAATGGGGGCTCCCCTCCACCACCACCAATGTGCAGCATCCACCTGGATGATGCGACGGCAGCCATAGTGCGCCAGAACACTCACCACACATCAGCGATCAGTGGGGAGGAGAGCAGAGTAATGAAGCCAATTAATAGAGGGGGATTGTTAGGAGGCCATGATTGATAAAGGCCGGTGGGAAATTTGGCCATCTCCTCTGTGTCCTCCGGTTTCCTCCCACACTCCAAAGATAACTAAAAGATAAAGTTAACTAGCTTCTGGAAAAACTGGCCCTGGTGTGTGTCTGTTTGTGCCCCGTGATGGACTGGCATCCCACCCAGGATGTACCCTGCCTTGCACCTGTTATTTGCTACCCTGTATTGGGAATTAGAAAATGGAGAAATGGCTGGATGTTTAATTCGGAGTCTACAATTCAATTTTTAGAGTTTGTCTTACAGGGAGAGACTATCGAGCAATGTTATTTAACTCGACTAACTAATCCACCCCCCAGCTTCTATCAATCTGTGCTCACATTGAAGAGGAGCTCTACATGCAGGGGCCTCGAACGCCACTGCAGAGCGCAGGATTCTCCGGCCTGACCCGCGTTACACGATAGGTTGCTCTGCACTCACTTGATGATCTTGTTCTCGAACTGCTTGGCACAGCGCCACTGCCTGATGCAGCTCAGACAGTAGGTGTGATTGCAACTGGAAAGGATCCCGAAGCGTTTCTCCGAGGGCACCGCCTTCTCGTACACCACCTCCATACAGATACTGCACACCTTGTCCTGGCTGAACTGAGCCGCAAAAGCCCGCTCCATATCCACCTCAAACGCCATCATGCACAGCTGGGGGGAAAAAAACAAAAGTGAAAAACATACTCTATACGTAGGCGTAGTTACCTAGTGTGCTTTTTTTCAAGTCATAGCAAGAAGCAGGCCTTTTTTAAGTCCCGATTAGGTCCAACGTGCACTTTGTCTAGGCCCTAATCATGTGCATCTGCACATCGCTCTCCTTCAGGTTTCTCTCCCATTGCTCTGGAACAGCAGCAGGCAAACTGGACACAGAGAAGTTCAAGAAGGTACTACGCTGCAAAGGAACAGGTAAAGGTTTATTCCAGGTTAATTAATATATGACCTAATTATACAAATAACAAGAAGAATCCGTATTCAACTTTGAAGTAATTTTTAATTTGTTTTCAGTAGAGTTCAATAGTTTTAATTACTTGCGTTTTAATTCGAAACATTGTGCCTCTTTCTTCAGCATGGAATAAACCTTTACAAACTGTACATATATACACAGCCCTCAGAGACACAAACAGCAGCCCGAGGGGCCACTAACACAACCTGCTTATTTTTGCCAATGTTACGGAAAGGTTTTAACAACAGACAATCAATAAATGTTATTCATTTGAATAGCAGCTATTATGGTTTTGCAATTTTCTGTTTAAATTCTATTTCCGGGGGCTTCTGCTGGGTTCCTTTCGTTTCTTGATTGGCCACAAACATGGTACTTCCACAGCTTGTGGAGAGAGAACACACATTTCGAGGAGCAGAGACTAGTGCCTTTTTATGCTCCAGGCTTTTAGTAAAGCAAATTCACCCTCAGGAAGAACTGACCAAGAAACCAAAGTAAATTAATTTGCAACACTGCTCAGATATGAATAAAAAATGTAGCAAAACTAAATAAATTGTTTTGAATTGCATTTGACAGTTATTTCCTTTAGAACTGTCAGCAACAACCGCAACATTATACAGAGGGTATATATATATGGGAAAGAATATACTGTATAATTAAATGGGGCATCAATTATTAATACATGTAAATATTAATCTAAAATTACTTTACAAAAAGGGGTGGTTTTCAGATTAATAACCATTTTCTTTTTTGTTACAATGGAATCAAAATATTTATGAAATGATCACATCCATTTAACAGACAGACACTAGGCAGCATTAGAGTAAAGCTATTCACAAACTGCAAGATTTAATCTGTGATTGTGCATTTGGAAATGGCAAACCGAAACAATACCGAATTAAGACAATCACTGAAGGCAGGCTGTTTTAATACTGGATGAAAACTACAAAAGTGGAGCCATCTGAGATTGCCAGGGGCTCTCTTGGTTGTGCATCCTTACCTTCTCATGTGCTTTCCTCTGTTCAGAGTCCATGGGATGCAGCACCTGAAGCCCACATATGTCACAAACATCACCATGGAGATACGTGCAACTGTTGCCATAGTGACACTGACCAGCAGCTGCATAAGGGCACAGCTGTTGTGAATCAGTAACCGAGCTCCCAGATGCTGAACTCTCCAGCCCACTTTGGATAGCCTCTAGATATGAATGAGGTTTGGGGTTGACGGCCTCATCGCTGTGACCCCAGCAGTCAAACTTGGAGCTGTCCGAGGCGTCAGATCTGTGCTGTGGCATCCTTACCTCTGAAGTGCTGCAAAGAGCTGAAGGAAACGCACACTTTCAGATTAACAAGACCTCATAAAAACCCATTATTTGGGTGTGTGAGTGAACATAGACTGGGATAAACTTGAGTGTCAAGTAATATCAAAGCTTACACAAAATTCCATATACTCAAAGGTCATTTAGTTTACCTTGACATTTACACACATGTGACATAAATATCACTGCTAAACACCTAACAATGAGAAAAACACTAACATAAGAAATGAATTTAAGAAATACATTCTTTTAATGAAATCCGAGGTCATAAAATGACGTGAGGACCATCGCACATGTTGTATATCAACCATCCATATTGTAGCAATAAAAGAAAACCTAAAAATATTTTTTAATTCATACAGGAACCCTTATCTTCAAACAGACCACTTTAAAAATAGCTGAAAACTACAGTATGTCTCAGGCACAGTGCTTCAGATTCAAATGACGTTATGATGCCTAGTGTCAGATATTAAACCATTACAGGAATTAGAAACAAACTCATTTTTACAACTGATAAAACTACAGATTTCAACAAATGCAGAAAATGCCTTAAACTTGATAAAATATACATTTACCATATATAAGACAGGGTAGCTTATGCTCGTAAGAGTACAAAAAATGGTATCGAGTAGTAATAATAATTCAGTCTTGGTCAGGGGTGAACCAGGATTTTTTTATTTTTTGGATTTGTCAGTTTGCAGTGCATAACAGAGAATACCACTGCTTACCAGAAAAGGGTCAATTACAACAAACTGCTGAGGAGGTTAAGGGACCAAAAAAGCTTAACGATTTTTTCTCCTTTATAGCCACCGTAAATTCCAGAGTGAAACCACTTTGAGACTGTCTAAACAGCCACCAAATAGAAACATAAACACACCAGCTGCAATACGTTACTCACATATACCAAAACCAGAACAATTCGTTAAAACTAGCTGGCGGGCTCACCGTTTAGGGAAGAAGTGTGACACTAGACTTGTGTGATAAAATTGCTGGCCCTCTGTATCTTTAACACCTCTCCCAAAATTCAAAGATTACTCTGCAAGACAAGAGGGGCTGGCTGGCCGTCGGATGACGAAACAAAAGTACAACTTTAAAACAAATGTGCGTGCACGCACACTCAGATCAGTCCAGGCTGCTCTGAAGCCAAAAGTTCCTGCAAGAGATGTGTTACCTCTGTCTCTCAAGACTAAGGATCTTTTCCCACGTCTCCCAGAGCCTGCTGGGGGGATGGCTCCTGCAACTGCAGCCAGACCACTGCAGCTCTTCTCGGTGAGATCTCCGGGGGCACCTGCCCCCCTTCCAGCAGCTGTCTTAATATGATCATACCTACAAAACACACAACATGCAATAAGAAGAATGTGTTGCTTTGGAAAGGTTTTAAAAGCACTGTTAAACTATCTTAGGGAGCGTTCGAGATGAACATCAGGAGTCATCCTGACACAGAATACTGCAATAACTTGGAACCAGATCCTTGGCCACATCACTGTATTAAGGTGGACACCACAGGGTCATTAAAGAGATGGATCGATCAAATTCTCAATTACTAGCAACCAAGCGAACAGGGTGAGTTAAAGCCAGCCTATTCTATTTCTTTGTTCATATTTTCTTGGACTGTGTGACAATACACTGAACGCTAAACGATAACAAAACGAAGATCGTCACGATTTCTTTTCTGTTTGTCAGACGACGTTCTAAAACATACATAAATTTAGGATGGAATGAGTGTTCAAAACGGAAAATCTGAATAATATAACATCGGTGTAAGCTAGCATTACAGGAAAGGCACACACTATTGATCTTATACTGATGGTTGGTAGTAGCAGTATCACTGCCTTTTAAAGATTCTTAACCTATATATTTTAGTCGTGGGGCTAAAAACAACTCATCTTCTAATTTTATGGCATATAATATGAGAAGGGATCATTTGAAAAATCATACTGGAATTAAATAAACTCTGAAGCCTTGCTTACCAAAATTCTTTACCTATTTTTGGAAATCTATAAAGGGGTCAAGATGATAAGAGGCAAATGTTTATTAAACGGAATTGTCTACCGAAAGAAATTGATTGGCATCACCATTTAAAACTCTGAGGAAAAAATCAGGATGAACTACCAACAGCTTTTTTAAAAAATTAAAAATCACAGATTAAAAAAACAAACAAATTATCTTAAGAAAGACAACATTTTAATAGCAAATACAATATTTATCTGCAAACTGCAAATTAAAAAACACATGACTCAAGGTTGTGATAAAAACGCAGAAAAATAATCGTCGTCGACTTAAATCTACATTTACATTAGCGGATGATTAAAAAGTTAATCGATTCAAACAAGCTGAATGGAGCTGCTTACCACTTGCCATAGGAAGCTTTTCTCTCTACAAAAACAAGTGTTCCCCTTGACAAGACAAGTATGACATCTTAGAATATTGCACTACATGCACCGCAACGCTAAGACATTTGGCACATGATGGCGGGACCTCACAGAATAGTCCTGTGAGCACCAATAGTAAAACATCACCATTGTCGACCTAAGTGTACGCGATTAATTCATGGCGTGTAACGCATCATTTCAGTGATGCTAGCGCCCTCTGGTGTGAAGAGTCATTTTAGCACACGTTCTCTTTCGTCAGATTTGTCATCTCGCTGAATATTATTGCTCGTATTGGCATAGTTATAATGACAGTTATTCGAAGTCAATGAATTCTGTAGGCCTCTTGTGTTTAAGAATTACTTTAAAGGGATCGAATGATTGTTAAAAAAAAAAACTGACAGGGTTACTGACAAGAACTTTCTACCTGCAGCGATCTCCGTATGCACACTGCCCTTTTTGGTAAAACTTGCAGATCGTCGAGGGTTTGCTTGTAGTCAAATCGTGCGAAAACATACATCGGGTCCCCTCGCGGCAAACGCCATGCAAGAAATACCTACAACGGAGACAAACAGCAGTCACGATGAGCTGAACGAGGAGCGGAAAGTTAGATTTTTGAACGCTTTAATAAAAGCACATGCATTCCACATAATGCATCCCACATGAACACAAATGGCACATTTCTGGGGAACAAATGTCATTTAAAATATCTCCCTCCGCAAGACCATTAATTATTTACATCCATTTTTTTGGGAGAAAGCATCGATTTACAGATCACGGGAAGTGTTTTATTCTCAATCAGGATTACTTTCTTAGTGGGGTTATATCCTACTCTGAAATGCACCACCGTTAATGGTGTGATCTCTGATGACCAGGAAGAACCCTTAATGTATTGTTGTCGTTATCGGGTTACTTCTACCGCTATTGTGCACGTCTTGGCAGAGTACTGGAAGAAAAGATCATTAAAAAAAAAAACATTTGGCCCACAATAAGAAAAACCCACTTTTTACAAAAAACGACCGGTTGATAAAACTGGTCAGAGAAAGTCTGACCTTTGATTTTAATGCTTTACAGAATTAGAACTGATTACCTAGGTTAAACGATTTGAAGAGGTGTATTTCTATTTCTATTCTTCATTTAACCAGAGAAAACAGCTGAGAATAAATTATCGTTTGCAAACGACGTCACGGAGAGCACTGACAAACACAGCAGTGTCTGAAAACAATTTCAATGGACCTGTAGTATACAACAACAGTAGCTCCTCGCTTCTGATCCTCGAGCTTAAAGCTTAAGTATTTCACAGATCTAAAAGCAAATTCTGACATTGTTAAGGTAACAACACTTAACAGGTAATAAAACAGCCCAAAAAGCCACTGTAACTCTTCCATAGTGTCTACTCATTCTACTTGTTTCAGAAGGTCTCCTTACTCATTTTAGATTGCCTGATCAAATTGGATGAAAAAAAAATCATAATGAAGACACTGTCAACCACTATCAACGATAGTGATTTGATTCTCCTTTTCCATTAGAAAACGTATAACGTTACAGTGCTTAAATTATTGATGGTCAAGTAAACGACACGCCATAACGTCACTTTAGAACTCTGCTCTCAAGCATGTCATTTTCAGAATATGAGAGCTAAACTCTTTTTAAATATGGACGTGTAAAATGTAAATCTAAAACAAAGAAAAACAGCAATTTTTACCTGCAGGTGACTTGCTTAGTAGTCATGTTCTGTCTTCCATAAGGGTTACAGAATTGTACCTCCTCCAGATACTTTGGGTGCAAGCTTCAATTACATCCCCCCGGAACAAGGAACTGCAACCAAGGGTTCCGATCTTAAAAAAACAAACAGCCTGTTTGACTTTTAAGTGGGAAATAATAGTCATGGAAAAATAAATGTGTAATCTACAGCAACTGTCGTTTATGAAAGTGGCCTAACAGTGGAATTATGTACCCGTCACAGGACTTTGCTAACGCGATTTAACGCACACTACAGCATTACACTACAGTCACCCCCACCGCACTCGTATCTACAGACGCTTCGTTAGAATAAGCCATAATTAAAACGGTCCGGTAAAACACTGTTTTATGTCGAACACACTCCATGCAATTTCACCGTCTCTTATAACCACAGAGAGAGAAAAAAAAAAACACCCGCTATGTAATTAAAGGTTTGCGTGCAGCCAGTCATCGCGTCAATGAAGTGACATCACACAGCCGTAGGAAGGACCTGCTCTCTGATCTCTAAGGTGCGATCTGTTACTTTGTCACTGCCTGACACTCGGTTTTGCCTCAGTGTGTCCGCGGCTGCTCCAAATGGAGAAGGCAGTTATCAAATTCCACCACTGTGACAAGGACATTTACTGTTTTTTCGTCCCAGAGAACTGCCCCGTGTGCGGCGAAAGTCTGAGCTGCCGGCGGTTTGAAGAGGCACCGGTAAGCATCCCTAGTCCCTTCGCGGGCGGACAGAGAGCCAAGTGCTCGTTCCTCGTCAAGCCCACGACAGGGGAATTTCTCAGGTGAGATCGCTTTAGCGGTGCGGCAGATTTTTTTTTCTGTCGACCTTGATTCACTCACAGGCGTGTGTCAGGGAAAAGGGAAAATGAGCACAACCTCTGTTTCAGGCACTGTATGCCGCAATTAACTCATTAGTAAACAACAACAACAACAACAACAACAACAACAACAACAACAAAAAAGCAGTTTATATTAAATGAACAATACTCTGTTAATTGCTTCGTTGAACATCGGCAAGAACAGTCCACGTCCTATCGCCTTCGAGTTGAAGACATCAGTTGTGATTTCTCAGAGAGAGCCAGGACGTTTCAGATTTTTCTGTTCAAGATTTTTTTCCCCAACATTTTGTAGAACCCTGTTCGAAATTTGTTCTGCAGCAGATTCAGACGTCTACTGTACCGAATGCCAGGGTCACGTCGTTTGAAATTAATCAAAATAACCTGTAGTTTTTGTCAAATGGGACGGTAATGTGTTGTAGAAATAATTTAGTCATTATCAAGTCCACCAGTTGAATTCCAGTACATCTGCATTTTGTATTTACAATAAAATACCCTTCTAAATGGATGAACGTGTAGAGGGAAGAAAAAAAACACTAGTCAAGGGACAATAGAGTAATTTGGATTTGACTGGCAACTTTGACGGATTTGCTATTAGTACTGTAACAGTACATATTGTGGTCACGTAAGGTACACTTTGAGCTGTTCAGATCACGTTTTTGAAGATTCAAATGAAAAAAAAAACAACGTGAAAAAATCAGTTGTTCCTCTCAAATTGAGATGTATGAGGAATGGTGAAAAGTTGTAGCAGAAAGCAACATAGCTGGCTTTGAGTGAGTTGTCAATTTTCACAACGTGTAGTTATTTCTACGATGTTTTGTTCAAAGTTTCTTACTTCCACAGAGAGTATGACGGAAGATCAGATCTTCACGTTGGAATCACCAACACTAAAGGTACTGTACAGTGTATTTTGAATGCACCACAATTATTGAATTTATTCCACAGTGATGGAATATCACAGGAAACAGTTTCAGACTTGCAGAAGTTCAGTGGGTTAGTATGTTCTGTAGTTGACGCAGTAGTGGGAAAGGAGTATGAAATGGGACAACGGCAGTGTGAAAATAATTTACGTGCAGGCAGCAGCAGATAAAAAGATGTGCAAGTGCTTTCGAAAGCGGATGAGGTCACATTTGGTTATGAAATTATTAGGGGGAGTAATCATGCCTACAATAGGTTCCCATTTTTTGATAAAAAATGGAAAACAAAAGGTTACTAGTCAGTTTGTATGACTACCTAAATAACGCTTACATAATCTCACAGAAACCTAACTTTTGATTTGCATTCAAAACAACAGGACCTCTTCATCTATTACATAATGTGTACAAAAAATGCAAATCATCCATGGGTCATTATATCTAATGGAGTCCTTAACAGTTTGCTAAGTTATGAAAAGTAGATGGTGTCCTTATTATTAGAAATGATTTAATTCTTACTTTATTTCATGCAATTGGAATACATTTATCAATTTAGAGGGTTTACCTTTTAAAAATCAGTATATTAACATTTTTATATTGATACTTTCAGCCACCTGTACTGTTCTCAGTGTATGAACACGTGTATTACTAACATTTAAAACACTCAACAGCTCGGAGGCTGCATGAAGATCTGTGTGTTCCTTGCAGGTGTAGTTTATAACTACAATGAGACTGGCATCTGTAGAGATGAGCTGGGGTGGGATCAGTCTGTCAGTGTTCCCCTGGTCCAGCCTGACATGTACAGTTTGATAAATCAGTGGGATTGCTACCTGGAGCAGTTCTCTTCCGCAGAGATGTGGCATTCACAAAGGTATTGCTTTAAAAAAAACAGATTTTTTAATGAAAAATCCACACTACTTCAAAATACTAAGTGACATGAATAAAGTTGGACTATGGGAGTTTATGCAGAAAGACTGATTCACTGCAGTTTAATTTAGACAAAGAAACATTTAGCACAACACATGGAATATCAGAATGTTTGCCATTTCAACAAAGACTAACTTTTACATGTTTTCATAAGTTTCAATGTTTGTTTTCCTCTTCACTTCTGTTAATGTGTTGTTTGGCAAAATATTGTTTCATAGGGTTTGCAAAATTTAGAAACTGAGATTATAGTGAGGAGTTAAGTTTAAGCTTTACATTGTGTATGAGACACTTCAAAAATAGTTTTATAGAATGTACATAAAAAGATACAAAATAACAAAATCAAGTAAGAAGTTTCTTTTACTTTGATAACTTTTCCTTATCATTTACAGATACAATGAAACAGAGCACAACTGCTATACATATGCTCTCACATTTATCAACTGTGTGCTGGCCACACAGGGAAAGAGCAGCCTGAGCAAGACTGAATTCACAGAAAAGTTTGTTCTTCCAAGAACCAAGAGAGCTTCCAGGTACATCACCCTCTACCAGGAAATTTCTGAAAACTATTTTTACATCGTGGATGGTTCTCAGAAAGAAGGAGATGACACCAGCTACGTCTGAACCTGCTTGACTCAGAGTGGTTCACTGAAAACATAAATGGCCTGATTTGAAAAACATTTGGCTAATTGAAAGGTGAGGGAAATTTTGTCCTTCAATTTTGACACCAGGCCACCAGCTGCTCCATCACACGTGCTTTAAGTGTTTTTTTTTCCCACATCAGGAATTTTATGTTACTGTATTTACAGTTTGTAAAATGGTACATGTATATGGAATTAATTAGTTTTTGATGCCTTTTCTCTCTCTGAAGGCCATTGCAATATTAGGAATTTTACTGTATATAAATTACAGGGCAAGAGGTGTGTGACTTGATTGAGGTTTGAGTGCATGTGATGGAATTTCTTCACAATACTGTAAGAAGTATGCAGAATTCAGTTTATTTTTCAATGGTTCTGTGACACCATTTGATAACTGTGGTTTTCTGCTGAGCTTCAGAAACATGTAGAAGTAAAAGGCTGGATACTGCAGCTTCCATTGTCAAGCAGAAAGAGCAGCTGAAATGAAGACACAATGCAGTTGTGCTAGGATGCACAGAGAGCTCTGAGCCGGGTCACTTTTTAATTTGTCATTCAAAAATGTTCAAACTGTTCAGAATAAAATCATACATGTACCTGGATGGGAGACCTCCTGGGAAGCTAAGGTTGCTGCTGGAAGTGGTGTTAGTGTGGGTCATAAAGCCCCCGGTATAGTGGCGGGGACACTATACTGTAGTGGATGCCGTCTTTCGGATGAGACGTTAAACCGAGGTCCTGACTCTCAGTGGTCCTTAAAGATCCCCAGGCTTTTCAGGATAGTGTAGGGGGTTATCCCGGTGTCCGGGCCAAATTTACCCCCTCTGCCTTTACCGTGGCCTCCAAATTGTCCCCATGTGTGACTGGCTTGCACTGGCCCTGCGATGGACTGGTGTACCCTTGTCTTGTGCTCATTGCTTGCTTGGGTAGGCAAATGACATGACATGGATCTGGAGTTATTTTAGGATTGTTTTTGAAACAGGATGCAATTAATTTTCTGTAGCAATGCCTTTGTCCCGTGCTAGTAAAAAAGGTGGCAAACGTACACAACAAAAGAAAAATACAACCGAGTGTCACCACAAGGAAGTGCTGAGCCGCTGAACTGTCATGCATCAAGGAGCGTTGCTGGAAGGAGAGTGAGGTATGGTGAAAGAAGCAATTAGCAAACATAAAAACACCACAGTCTGGTCATCTGAGCAAGTTGTTTCATCAAAAAGACAAATAGTTATATCTGCTCACTTTTATAGTATTTTGAGGTGCTCCGTTATATTGAAATAAAATGTAATGTATTCTATTCTAAGCACAGTGTTCTATCTGGGATAGCTAATTTTCTCTGTACAGCATTCTATCTGCTATGAGGGGGAGGAAAATAGGAAATTTCCACAATTTTATTGATTTGCAAATGGCTAAAAGATCTAATTCTTCTTTTTCCAAAGACCACAGACTGAAGAAGCAGGCTTATTGGAAATAGGCAACTTCCTAGTTAAAAATAACAGTTATATAACATAATAATGTTAATATAATATATAAGTTAAATAATAATGACAATGTTTTGAATTTACCATTTTAAATAAAAGCTGGTCCATTTCTAAAAAAAGCTGCACATGATGGAGATAGTTTTGATTATGATCAGTAATTCACCTCTATCCTTGGATCACTTCACACATGAAGGACACAAAGCTCTAAAATTACAGTAAGGGTTCCTTTGTTGTCTACAATGACACCTGAGTTCTATATACTGGGCATGTGTGTTTTGACAATGAATAACCTTATGGCACAAGCAGCTCTCCTAATCTTCCAACTGCGTATCAGTTTTCACAAGTTTCCGTTGAGTGAGTTCAAACCAATTAAGTGTGATTTCACTCAAATGGTCAATTAGGCTTAACGGATTACTATTAAATATAGATGGAGAGATAAAGTGTCCAGGATATGCTGAAACCGAGATACCTTCCTGGTAGCAGAAGTGTAGGTAAACTATGTTTTGTTCATAACCTTGTTTTGTCTTTTCCTCACAAATGTTCATCTGTTTTACACTGAATTGCACAAAAAAATGCATTTTAATTTAATTGTCAGTTTGATTTTCCAATTGTTTTTTCTATACTTAATGTGTTCAAATGTATAAGAATAAAATTAACAATTTACAAGGAATATCTTTCTTTTTTAAGGGCAAGCAGTTATAATTACTTATGTAAAGCACTATGGAAGAAATTCAATTGTACACTCATTGCATTGATTTCCATTGGTCTTCCCTAAACTGAGCCCTAATAAGGATTACACAGCAGCAAATGGCTGCTACCTTTGATTTTATATATACAAAAGAAGAATTAGACCTCTGTTAGGATGATTCTGCTTTCTGGCATTCTTAATGTTATTTGAATCAATAACATCCACTGAGTTGTTATTGACTGAGTGCACTTCCTCAGTCTAGTTTACCCTTGTTTCCAGGTCTTTACTAATTGGTGATTATAAGTTACTAAGAAAAAGTGAGACTAATACATAGAAAGAAACATTACAAAATGCAACAAATGCTATTGGTTCCAGTATCTGTTGCATTTTTAAGTATTTTTCTAATATTAACACAGGTAACAAGACAGTTTGTTTTACTTTAGTTTACTTCAAGCACAAAAATAATACTGTAGGTTCTCCTAAAATCCTGAACAGTTATTTTTCAAGCTTGAAAATGGAAAACAAACACAGAAATCTCAACTTGACTTTAGATAAAAATACCATTTTGTCACAAATCTAATGCATTTGGCCTGCACAGAAGTGAAGCAAGTTGACATATAAACAACCCTCATACAATGTCACAATTTTTAACAGACTCAGACTAAGAACCGATCAGCAGGGTTTATGCTGGTAGGGAATCAAATTTATTTATGTAGCAGGCGTTCATTGCAGGATTTAGTTTTAAATAAACATTAAGGAATGTGAAAAATATGCTTTTGTGTGTGCTCGCCATCAGGAAAAGTTGTATCTCACATGAGCTTCAGAGTTGACTGAAACGAACCGCAGTTATTACTTCGGAGCTATATCTCTTCTTGTTCTGTATGGTCTCGAGAAGATATCCACCTGCTCACAATAATCTCCTGAAATATAAAAATACATTAATAAGAAAAAAATCTCTTCATAAGAAACACTACAAGATTTACACAGAGATATCCTTTTCTCTGTTCTCTGTAACTCTCATTATTCGGTATTTCCTCTAATCAGAGAGATACTCGTCAACCAGTAATTCTGTTTTTAGACTAAAAGGACCTATTTTGATCCTGAAATGATTATTTAAATTGGAATAGAAATCTTCCCACCTGAACCTTGATCCTTTTCAAGCAATCAGGGGTGGACATGTCTTCTTCTGTCATGTCCAAAGGCCTGATGACATAGCATAGCAGCAGTTCCTGAGAACAATTGTAGCAAGTTGTATCAGAAAACGGCTGGCAAGTTTAAATGAATACATAAAGTCAAATGATAACTTAATAAGTAACAAAAAAGCTTTTATCTTTAGGCAATAGCTTAAAGATAAAAATATTTTTAAAAAATGTTTTGTAATTTTCCAATATATTTGTAATCTAAATATTGGTGTTTAATTGAGACATGAAAAAATATTTACTTCTTTCGTTTTCCAGCCTTTTGTTTTATTTGTATAGTTTATTATACAGTAGGTAACCTAAGACAACTAATAGATTGCATATCTTTGCTCACTCATTCTATAAAAGTGAAGTTTTCAGACATGACCAGATGGTCTGCAACTTAAGGTACCTTATATCCAAAAGCAAAAAAAGTATGGATATCTTAGGGCAGTCATATTCACTCCTGGTCCAGGAGGCCTGAACCACACATGGTATTACAGACAACTGAAAATCCTCAATGAGTAAAGACCTGGACACTATGGTAATATAGAACATACTTGATTATTCAATAAGTCACCAAGTGTCCAGAGTGGAACAGACACCTGAAGACACAGTAGCCCTCTGGGACTAGGAGCGAATATCTGTGTATCATCTCGGCTAGATACTTCCAGGAACTATCTGGGGATAATGAAGTCTTCACTTTAGAAAGCCCCTAAATACGTCTTGCAAACTAACTTGCACATTTTATTTCAATGAGCATTTTTGCCACGCTTCCAAAGTCACCTTCGAAACATTGCCTGTGATTCTGTTAAGAGCAGCCAGGGATCGCCAGGAGAAAGGCCGCAGAGCCGACCCTTGAAATGTCTCATCCGCTTTCTCCACAACAACAGAGTAGCTGGAAAGACACACCGCATATTTTGTAAGCACCCTCATTACTGCAATTTGCATTTTGTAAGAACCAGAAAGCATACTGTTCAATTAATTTGCATTTCTTGCAGATTTATAAGAATCTCTGTTTATGAGTATAATACTCTAATACACTGACAGATGTAAAAACATCTTTATTGTTACATTGCTACATATAAAGTTATGATTAACATCCATGCATTTTCCATTTTCAGTATTCAAGCTGCCTTCTCTGGTGAGGGCTGTGTCATGGACTACATGCACAATCTAAATATACAGAGAATTCTGAAGTGAAACTAACCTTGCATGGTAAAATGGAGGTCCTTTCCGATATAGCACTTTGAAGGAGGAATCAATATGTTCCAGGAAAGAAGAAAAAAAAAAGTCCAGAATGAGGTACAGTTATTCTCTCAAAGAACATGGAATGTGAATCTGCTTGAGATTAAATTTATAATTGTCTTAGGTGCACAAAACTAAAATTGCATATGTACACCATGTATATAATATAAGCTTAGCTCATAGGATATTTAATGAGGAAAAAAAAAGCCAGGAAAAACGGAAAAAGAAACCCTTTAGGAGACTGGTCACTATATGATATTGCACTTCTGCAGAGGTGACTACCCTGAGAGCTGCCCTACTTCGCTATACGAGGAAACCAATGACCCTCTTTGTAGGTCAGTGGGAATCAGTTACATTTCCGAAAAGGCAGGAGACAAATGTTAAGGGACAATGAGGAAAGCATTGCTTAGGAGGGATAAATTATTCAACACGCAACTCAAGGTGTTACTTAAGCCTCTTGGAAAATATCTGAGAATGATTAAGCCTAAAATAAAATTCAGTGGGAAGTAATGAAGTACACAAAATGATTCCCTGGACAGCCCGTAATAGAGACTCTCTCTGGAGCTTTACAATATAGAGAACTATCATTACATATTTTCCATATATTTCTAAGTGCTATGGAGAGTTTGTATAGCCACGTAACTGATATGCTGTAAATCTCCTTACACCTGCCCATTGTGAGAATGTCTCACTATTGTGAGAACCCAGCTACTGAGCAGATATGGAGACTGAGTTAGAGAAAAACAATGGGTACTTTGGTCAGTTATTAAAACTGTCAGTACACCCCAAACACAACACTCCTCCAGTTCTATAAAGAATTAAAAATGAAAGAAAAAAAACAAAATTAATGTCTACTGTGAAGGAACATTAGTGAAGGTATAACATACTTACAGAAATCTGTTCCATACTTCATTCCAATCTTTGGCACCCATCCTTTGCTTCTAAAGTAGTGGTAGGCCACATAACTCGTTTGAAAGCTAGGCTGGATTGAACTAAATATTTCCCAGAGATTAAGAATTGTTAAGGGATCCTAAACAAGAAACCAAAGAGCACTAAATGGAAAAAAGGCCTCTCATCAGTTACAAATACATAACTAAAAACATTTGATTCTAATACATTATGAGCACACAATCTCTTTTAAATGTCAATTATTATTATGGTCTTATCTGTTTAATATTTTTATCCAAGGCAATTTACAAACAATGAATGTAAAGTATTAAGTGCAATAGATTCAAAGTTCTATCACACACTTTAATATGATGGCAAAAACAAGAAACAAACAGACTTAAAATACTAGACAAACAAAACTTTCCTTATATAACTTCTCTCACATTATAAGATGCACAGGAAGTAATATTGAATCAGGGCATCTTACCCCATTGTGATAAATGGATAAACACCCCAAAGCATACACCAAGAAGAAGGCCTACACAGAAACAGAAATGTTAAACAGACCCTAGAAATTCCAAGGCTGATAAACTCTAAAAATCCTTAAAGCGGTGTTTCAGGCATCACCAGGATTTGTGTGGAGAGCACAGTTGTGAATAATTGTAGTGACTGTCCCTAGACAAACAATGCTAGAAATATACGCAATTCATTATACTGTATATTACATACTGGGTGTACTATACTGAAAACGGTATTAAAGAAAAAAAGCAATCTGTATACAAGAGGGTTATATGTGTTCTTCTAAACGTTTTCTCCTTCTTAATATTAATGATCCTCCCAGCTATGACAAACAATCTCTTACTTTAAATGAAAGTTTAAAAATAGAAGATAAATTTAAGCTTACCTCTTCTAAACTCAGCTGCAGATACTCAATAATCCTAAAAGGGTTGATTCGCCAAACAAACCGTTCAGTTGTTTGAGACTGTAAAAAGAAAAAATCAGATGAATGCCAGAGTATGACTTAACATTTAGGATTTTAACCACGACCTTCAAGGTTGAAGTCCTGTGCTCCTTTTAAGAAGCCAGATAGCAACACACACTTATTTGTCATGGACATCATATCCTTTTGCTCAGAATGAATTCGAATTAGAGCAACAACCCAAAAAGTGTAAAGAATGTTTTTATAATACTTATATACCCAAATTGATCAACAAGATTTACACAAATGTCTATTTAAACTGTAGGGCTTTCAGCTCAACATCAAACAATTTTACATTTTTCTTTAAGCCCAGAAAAATATCCGAAATAAGTGAAATGTTGATATTTACACTGGAAAGGGAGTTCTCGTTTTCCCCCGCGCACTGAATTTCCTCTTCCTCCTCCTCCCTCACCAGTACATATTCGTACCCAGGGGAGAAGGAGGGGCTACGCGTGTCTGGCCTGGTCTCCATCACCCTGTCCTTCAGCCTGCACCCACAGTGCACAAGCCAGTCATCGTGCTTATCACATTTCACAAGGCGCAGATCCTCCCTATCTCCCTCTACAGGCTCATCCGAGTAGCTGTCCGCCAGCGGGTCATAGCAAGGATCCCCTTGTCTCCTGGGTTTCTTTTTCTCCGGACTCCAAGACGCCGCCTCACACTCGGGCCGATCCGGCTGCCTGCTGTCTGAACTGCGACCAGCTGGTGAGGCTGGGGCTCCCAGCGCTCCGTTATTTCCCTGAGAGGTGCTGCCCGTTGTCTGTTCAAGGCCATTCCCCAGCGCAGCCCTGTTAGCCTCAGCCAGGTCCACTGGGTGTGTGTACTTCTCAAGGGCTTGATGAATGGATTCTTCATCCAGGCCCTGCTCTCGCAAAATATCCTGGGCCCAATTTAAATGAAGCTGGTACCTGGAAAAACAATACAAACAGGAAAAAAAAAATATTTCCTCACATTTAAAAGAGCAGTGATACTCCTATACTGTATTTAAATTTCCATATGAATTGCAATAACAATATTAAAACAGAGCAGTTCTGAATAATAATACCTTTTTTTTCTTACAAACTCAAAATATACAGAATTAGAATCTTCTCTACCAGGTTACATTTAAGGCATCTAACAGTTTAAACTCCCACTCAAGAGAAAATAGTGCACAGAAAGGCCTTGTGGAAGTCCACCCACTTTCTAACCTCTTCAGGCAATGGGCAGAAGGCAGGGGACACCCTGTAGGGGGCGCCAGTCCATCACGAGGCAGACACAGACATGCACACAGTCATAGCCAGGGCAAATTTCCCAGAATCCAGTATGACTGGTAGGATACCGGAGCACTCAGGGGAACTCTACGCAGATAACACCCCTAGTCAAGAAGCAAACCCAGTACTCCAGCTCTGCGAGACAGCAAAGCTAACTACTGTGCCACCATGCCTCCCCCTTCTGAAAGTCTAAAGTCTAAATTATGTTTTATCTTTTGTTACTTCACACATACAGTACTGTATATAATACATAAACAGTACTGTATTATATTTTATGTACAGTTTGGACTGTCAACTACAGTCCTTCAGGGCCGGAATTCTATTGGCTATACATTTACATTTCAATTACAGACCAATGTCTACAAAAAAAGAGTATTTGAATCTATATGAAAAAGGTTTAATTAAGATTAGAGGTGAAATTAGAACTATATACTAGATACTCAGGCCCCTGTGCCCAGGACTTGGATACAGGTGGGTGGGATATACTAGAAATGGAGGAAAGGGGGAATTCATCACAATTTTATCATCATCTCTAAACATTTTTAGAATTCTTCTCAGCTTTTCAAGATTGTTGACACAAATGAAAGGAAAGCAATTTAAACTTACTTGGAGGAAGAAATTACAGGTAGACTTCTAGAGCCAAGATCTGTGAAGAACATACAACATAAAACAATTAACAGTAAATTGGATTGCCTTCATTAGTTTAGACAAGGAAAATATCCTGTCAAAGTGCATTTAGGTGCCTGAAGAAGACCAAACATTGCATAAAAAACAATAACCAGATTTAATGCATGGTAAAAAGGTAACAAACTATTTTCAAAAGCACTGGGAACACCTCCAACTGTAGTGATGAGCAATTTTATTTTTCCGCAAAGGCATATAAAGGGTTCTACCCTCACTTCATCTTGAGAAAATCTGAATGCCTGTTTGTAACTGAAATCGTTCACTAAAGTCACACAGGAGAGAATCAACCTCCCATCCCCAGAACAAAACTTACTCTGCCACTTGTCTGAAATGTTGTACTCGGGTCTGCTCCTTGATAAGATACCTTTCCCAAAATAACCCTACAAAAACAAGCAGGAAACCATTTTTAGAAACCAATCGGATGAAAAAGTAATCAGAGAATATAAACATCGTACACACCTTTCCATATAAGGCTTGTATATCCTCGGGATCTCTCACAAGGACATGCTGGTTTACAATCTCAGCTCTGTAGATCCTGCATTCCTTATTTTGTCCTTTGTCTGCAGAAACTGTCACAGGGAATGGACCCGCATAGGACTCGTAAACCCTGGCTCGTCGTTTAGGCGCCTGAAAGACGGCTTCTGTCATCTCACAGTGCTTCTTGACTAGAGACCTAGTTCAATTCCCTTGCAGACTGATGTAGGATAACAGGAAATTAAAAAAGCAAACATTAAAGTGTTGCACAGGTTATTATTTACTTGGTGCTTTCATGATATGGAGAGCTCTAGAACACGTTTTCTTACGATACACATCAAAGGTACTTCCTTCTTATTTGAAAATAGTTGTAAGCTACTGTGTATACTGTACCTCACCAGTACGCAAGAATATCATTTATTTATAAACAGTTTTCACCAAGTTGAAATGATCTCATCAGAAGCAAAGCACAGACATTTCAATGGTTTTAAATGCATTTCTGCGAGTATTCTACTTAAAATATTTTTCCATTTTAAATTTACGATCAAGCTGTGTTCCGCTTACAGCCAGTCATTGTATCCTCGTATCAGATGCAATGAATGAAACTGATAGACATCCGTAATAAGCAAAACATAACTGACTTTGTTCCTTGTACTAATACAAAAACACCGAAAACCCAATGCAGCACATTCTTACAGCTTCGTAAAGCTACAGTTCACTTACACGTTTTGTAAGCGGGTCCTCAGAAAAAAATACACACAGTACCAAACGTAACTTACTCTGCTACACACGTGAGAAATATGTGCTACACAACATTGTATCCGATCGGAAACGTGTAGTTCTGTAACTTGGTTCCTTTTTATAAAGCAATTTACTAACAAAAGTTTAAACAAAGGCCAACAATTTTAGCCCTTGGTAAGACAAACAGCAATACATTGGAAATGGGGGCCGTTTTTGGTGATACCTCAAGTCTAGAACACGCATGGTATTCTGATTTCCATTGTTTAAGGGATGCCTAAGTAATTGAAATACGCTACATACGAAGACACTTAAAATGTAGTTGTTAAAATTCACTCAGTATATATAAGCCACATACGTATAAACGAGTAAACTTATTTTATCACAGCTAATGTAAAAAGAAGTTTAAAGCACTTTGATTATTCAACTGAAGATACAGTTGTTACGTGATATATTCCGAAACACTGCGCCGCCTTGTGTTCGAATAAAGATTTATTCTAGAATTGCACAGAAGTATTTTGTAAAATCAGACTGTTTAAAAAAACATCAAATGCGCACGATAAAATAGAGGTTCTGTACAATAATGTACAGCTGTACTATGGTCTGCCTGACGTTTAAAAAAAAGTTTCAAACAAATCGAAAAAACTTCGTTTATATAGATCATATCTTCACATTACATATCTTAAGGAGTCTCATCTCAGTTTACTTAAGACATGGAGACATAAATTAGACTTAAATAATAAAAAAAAACATAATCACTAACACTAGGTTAGGGCACCTTTATAGTTAAATGAAATTATATTTCGAATTTAGCTAATGAGTGACCTGTGTACAGTAGTTTAACTGTTGTTGCAGGCTTTCGTGAGTCACCAAGGTGGGTACTGCAGTAGTTCAGTATGGATGAATTTAAAATACCTTGTGATCATTGGGGAAGAAAACCGCTGTGCAAAATAGGAGGAAATATTTTGTATATGGTTTTACCACTTGAGCGAGGACCATATGGGTAATACACGTTTCCTTTACATGACTTAATTCATAGCGCCTATTGCCTCAGCTTTCAAGAGACCGCCTGTTGATCTTGTGACCTGGGAAGTCGGAAATTGTACCAGACGCTTCGCTGAACGCGTGGTTAACTTTACTGTCGGCAGCCTGTCTCACCTAGCCCTCTGCAGTGAAGTGTTGGCGGTTTGTCAGCAGTGGGCAGATGTGATGGTGACTGGCATCTCTGCTGGTTTGAAAAAATAAAATGCGTTAATGAGCAAGTACAAAGTGTCACTTTCTTTGATAAGTACCGCAAAAGAGAAGGGAAGTTTTGTTTTCCAATAATAGCACCAATGTCTCTCACGTAATAAAAAACCAGACAGTCAAGATGTATACATATTTAAAAGCAAAGGATGTAGATATTCAAATGTAAATGCACTTTAGAAAATCTATTGTTCTTGTTACCTCCCACTATATTATCGACAAGACGCTGTTTTATTTAGTTAGCTGAGGACTCCATTTCCATTTCCATTCTTTTAGAAAGTCCCAATCTTTTTTAAAATGTTTAAAACCTACCTTAAAGTCGACCTCAACCAACTTCAACATTCTTAATTTAAACTCATTGCTAAAACAATCATTTAGGAGGAACAAGGTCTAAACTATTTACGAATGTTCACCCACCGGCTCATTGCGAATGTCTTCGTCTGGTCCTGCCCGCTTGAAACTCCCCGTCGTCCTACTGTAGGTCTGCAGTTCGGATTGATCAATTAACTGTCGATGGATCTCCAATATCAGGCTGCATCAGACCCTGCAGTTTTGCACAGCTGAGCGGTTATACTGTAGCTGCGCTTCAAAAGCAAGGCAAGACTCGGCCAAGCAGCTTAATCGCCTGCCCCGCTCTCGCCTCCCTCTTCGCCTATCCAGGGTCTGCTCTCGGTGTATTTGTCTCACATTTTCCAGCGGTACCATCTATATCTGCTACTGTACATGGTCTCATCTAAAGCACATTTACTATAGACAGGAACTCAATACTGTTTGCTGGAACACAACGTGTAGTCAAACTACGAGGCAGTAATTCACATCGTGTATGTATCATTACATGCTCATCAGGTCCCGCTCGTACCTTTGAGCATGTTCGATGTCAGGTCAATTAACAGAAATGCTAATGTACAAAAAACACATTTATAATTATTTTTTTCAGTACACATTTTTAGGTAGATGTATGCATAGTGTTGTGTATATATCCACAGTTTGTATGTCCTATACCATTTCTTCCTCTTACTTGGGTCATTCTATGTCTGTATGAATATCTTTAAGTGAAAAGACAAGAATTGAAGTGTGCAGTGACCGCAAGTTGTGTTGATCGGTTTGTTTGTCATCACTAAGCCCTGTCTGTGCCCAGCTAGTGTACGAAAGAGCCAAAGAATTTGATTACTCAGCCTCGAAATAAATTGTTGTCTGACCTCCCATTTCACAAGAACAAGTTTATGATTTAAGAAATAGGAACCCCAACTAGAATCCTGCTGGGATATCAGGCTTTCATAACAGCCACAGGGAAAAACAAACAAATCATGGAGCTACCATCAGGCAGTAAACTGTACTAAAAAACAGGTTCCAACATTTCATCTCAGCTCCTCATATGCTCTCGAAGATGAGGAATGCTTTCAAAGAAGGAGTTGTCATTTTGTTATGGCACCCTGCAGTGAATTGTGTATATCTTTTAATAGCAGTGATGTCAATCCAATGATTATATGAACATATTTTGTCTTTGTTTCTATTAGTTACAATAGGATTTTTGGCAATAAAGATTTCGCTCTCGAAAATGCCATTTGAATTTCTTATATTAGGCTTGTTAGACTCCCAAAATGATTATACCTGTTTCTGTTTGTTTTTAATCAATCTAATGCTTTGTAATCCCCTGCTGTTGAATTGTTTTTTTTTGTAAATTCATGTGGTGTCTGTGGATACAGTTTTACATTTGTCTGATATGCATGTAATGTTTCATGTTATAAACATGGGAATTTTCTGCAAACCCATTTGGGTGCTTGAGATGAAAGGAAGCCCATTTCTTAGTCATGTTTCTCTAAAAGCAGAAACTGTGTGTACCTCAGCTTTCCTTTCCTCTGTTTTTCCAGGCAGTGTGGGAGGCTGGGAGGCTGAACTGGGTTATTGTATTGAAGAGAAGTTCCTGTGGTGCTTTTGTGGCCATGGTGATACTTTCTTCAACTCCTTCACAAAGAAGCACCTAAAGCATACCTCAGGGGCTGTTCTACTGCCACAGACGGTAGCCACGTCAGAACAAATATTTAATGGATGTTGTGGAGGGTTTATACCACATGACAAACCAATACTAAACGTGCTAGCCCTGTTTGCCCTTTAAGAACACGTCATAGGTTTATTCCATGCTGAAAAGAGAAGAAAGAAAACACAACGTTTCGGCCGTGGAGCCTTCTTCAGGCTCCACGGCCGAAACGTTGTTTTCTGTCTTCTCTTTTCAGCATGGAATAAACCTACAGTATGACTTGTTCCTTTGCAGCCTACGCATGCTGACGCAGCTACCCACCTGAACTGTTCGCTCTTTGCTTTTTTTAGTTATTTTATTAACCACTTCTACTAACCCATCTACTGTAAACTATTCTTTTAACTGATTGGAAAGAATTTCATGTACCTCATGTACAAAAATACAGAAAATACAGAAAAAAGAGAAATAAGCATCTGTCATGTAGATGTGTAACAACCTTTTATTAAGGTGATGCTAGTTCTTCATGCACAGCTTTGAATGCAGGAGATATGAGTAAGCACCGGAGAGAAGAATATATACTGCAGTTAATTACAACTATAAGGAGCGAGGAAAGGCATCTCAATTCCATGGTGACATGAAACTGAATCCTCTCGGCAGGCCTTAGTTTAATATCCCAAGTTATTTCTTTTTTGTTTGTTTGTTTTGAACATTTTTGGTTGGTATTTTCCATTTCACTCATACCCAAACTGGAATGTGCATTTCTTTCCTTCCATCCAGGCTTACAGCAATGGCTTCTGTAATGTAAAGGGACAAAAAGGCTCCTCCAAGCTGTGCACCCAGCAGAAAAATTCATCGTTTGACTATTCACAAGCTCCCCTGTGCCCAGTGGGAGAGCTGGCGGCGATGGCACTGTAAAGCTTGTTGATACCCCAAAAATTGCAGATGTGGCTGTTTCACCATGAGATCTCCAGACAAATAATCTCAACTACAACCCCGGCAGTGGTATGTCAATAGTGTGTTGCCACTTGACTTGGGGAAACTCGCCTACAGACGTTTCTCAGACAAAAAAGTTTTTTTGCTTTGGTTAAACCAATCAGAAGTGTGGGAGGTTTGGGGGATCATTCTTGAATGGCTAAAATGGATGGATATATCAAAACTGTAGGACTGTTTAATTAAAAAAAATGAGCAGAAATGCAAGATGCCCTTTTAATTTAAGACTTTATTTAAATTTAGAAATTCTTGCATGAAACTATGTCACATGTTGTACTTTTACCTACATTCCTTTGTAGCGAGAAAAAAAAATGGTCACATGACTTTTTGTACCTACAGCTCAGTGGTACATTTTTAGCTGCAGGCTGGGAGATATGCATTGTTCATGAACTGTTGCCTCACACGCTGCAGACACACCTCTATTTCTGTTTCGTCATCAATCATTTTAAACATTCAAACGTAAAAAGCACAAGAAGATGACAGTACAATGCTTAAAAAGGCAGACATGTTTTTATAAGCAATGTCAGTATGCTTTATAGCTAAATTGTACAAATCATCAGTTGCAATAAACCATTTTTAAATAATCTTTAACAACTGCTGCTTTCAAGCTTTAGTCCAGATGATTTTGTATTCCAGATGTTTAAAAGTAAATGTTAATGAATCCTAATATAAATCTGCTTAGTTTTAACCACTTGAAGCAACATGTTTTCATATCAAGTTCATGCTATCCCCTCAGAAGACCATATTCACATTTTATATAGCATCATTTAAACAACATTTTGTTTAACATTACTGAATATTCTACAAGGAATGGATTACTCTATATATCTAATTCTTTCTTCCTTTGAAGTTACATCAATGCTCCTGAAACAAAATGTAAGGCAAAGATCTAGGAAAATGTTGTATCTATTATTTAGGCCCTAAAAAGAGAAAAGCACATTTCAATAGTAGATAAAACATTAAATGAATATTAACAGTTCATGTAATGTTAAGCATTATTCTACATTTTGAGCAGGCACATTATATCAGCTAAAATATGGATAGAATCCCCCTGAAAAACAGCTAGAGATCAGTTGCAAAGTTATAGAATTGTAGAAAATGAAGCTGTTTTATATTGCAAACGCACACAGTAAATCTTTTTTTTGTTTTTCAACGATTTCCAATGTGAAGTGTTGTTTAAGGTTACTCCTTTAAGTTTCTTTCATATACAGAAAGACTTCTGTGTTTTTTTTTTATTGTTTGGCAGACTCTTCATAAAATCCTGGCAGGATAAGGTCATTTGAGAATTTGCGCTAACAAAGTAAGGATATGCTGACACGACATAACCCATTTAATCATCATCAACACATAAGTAACAGGCTCCGGTCCAGAATGCCCACCTGCCAACTTGCAACATTCTTTGTAAGAACCAATTAGCTCTCGCCTTTCTCTTTCCCACCCATGCCATTGGAGAATAGCCTGGGCTCGTTTTCAGTGCTTGAAGTTTACAAGATCCTGAAAGCCCTGAACCGATTCTAAATTAAAAAGCCAGTCTCATCCAAAATAAATCCAAAATCTTATATCAGCTCTGATGCAACTAACCTTAGAATCCCATTGGTTTTACATGACTGATTGGGTGTAACACAGCTCAGTGTCACATTCAGCAAATTAGACTCCAAGATAGAAAAATAAGATTTTGTTGTGGTTTTCAACTTCTGAAAAACCAAACAGAATATACAACATATCCATATTAGACTTTCCATATAAGTATAAGACAAATGGCTGAGAAAAAAACAAATTCCATCCTTCAGTTCCCGATTATTAAGTTATTTGCTTTGTTTAGCACTTAACTTTGTACACATGATCTTCCATTATTTTCAGAATATTTCAATTACAATTTGTAATTATGTTAAACACCTCATAGACTTTTACTTAGGCCCTTTAGAAGCTTGTTGCATTAATCAGTACAAGCAACGCAGACTTGTCTGTTTTCTTTCCCACCTTTCAGAGAGTCAGATGATTCTCTTAAAAATGCTCATTTAAATCTGACAAAGCACCATATTTGTTCCATTCTAAGATGGAATCTGTTTAAAACCTCCAAAAATGTTAATTTTGTTTTTTTATTGATCGATTTTGAGTGGAAGTCTTCAAAGGGATCTGAAGACAATACAATAGAGACCAGAGCTGTGTGGAAACTTAACACAGTCCAGTAATGGAGCACATTGCACTGTAGAATACAGCAGAATGCAAAAGACCCCACAATTGGACAAGGTTGAATTTAATATAGTTATCTTCCCTTCAGCCTCTCAAAATGGCAAATTCTTCCATTTTTGACATCAGCCTACTAAAAATATGATGAGAGAGGAAAGAGAAAGACGGCTTTAGCATCAGATAGATCACATGTGTCAGTGATAATACAACATTATTTCATACTGGTGATGCGATGTGCTAACCAGTTCAACAGAGTTCAACTTTTGCAAGTCTAAAGGGATGTTTGGTATAATGTACAACTAGAGGATGGTGCAACCATGATAAAGCCTTTCAGCAGTGCTATGTCTGGTGGAGTGTGAAGAAAGCCTCACTTTGATGTAGTTCAATCTGCAGTGACATGGCAAAGACAATGAAATGTGCTCAAGCTCTGCTACTGAATTTGCTAAAGCAATTATCTGAATTGTTAAGGTTGACAAAGTCCCTTTTAATATTAAGTAATAAGTTTAGATTTTCAGATGGTGACCCATTCTGAATCTGCACTCTGGGTGAAATTTAACCTTCTAGGGCTGCAACTGCCTTGTGAAAGATGAGGGATGAAAGATTTAACCAAATTTAACCAAATTCTTACTCTTGTAGTAACTGATTAATAAGATGAGTAAATGTCATAGCTAGCAGACCTATCTGTTCCATCATAGGACACTGCGAGGGCACAGTAATCTGATTTCAGCTGAGCATATCAATATACTCGGTATTTTATATTCCTTGGTATTATTTTTTAAATCACTCCAAATTGTCTAAATAGTACTCTTTCGTTTGTGCCCAAAACAATTGCTCACTTGACACACTAAATTGGGGACTAGAGGAAATGTCAATACTGCTGTACCTCAGCTGGGGCATTTGATCTTAGTGCTCTGAAGTAATGGAAGCATATCAGAATTATTAAGAACTCTTCACAACATTTAAAGGTAATTTATTCACATAAGTCATTTTTCAAACTGAAAATAAAATAACCACAAATTAGGCTGAAGCTGCATCAAGGTTTCCCACTTGGCTTCAAATGACAAAACATCTTTGTAAATTGGAAAGACAAACTGTACCTTGAGACTAAAACGTGTAATAAATTCATACATCATTTCCTTGTAATGATACCTTACATGCTTTGATCCATTTAATAAATTGTGAACAATAAAAAGAGCTCATCGTAAGACAGCAAATTAGAAAGAGACCATTTACAAGAAATTCTATGAAAACAGCTATACAGGTTATCTTCTATGAAAGCATGAAATTGAAGGATTTTCTACACAATGAGAGATTTGTAACGTACAAATATAAAAAAAGAAGAACCTTGTCAAAAAGAGGAGTAATGTTCAAAACCGTTGGTAACATATTTTGCCACGCAGCCAAAGTTTTTTTTAATTTTCATTAAGCAATGAAATATTTCCTTTCAACGATTAAAGATAAAAATAATATTCAGGATAAAATGTCTTTGTTCCTAGTTGTTTAACTTTCTTTGGTCAGTTTTCTGCTTTAATTTTACTTTTTTTTGCATAATCACATTTTCCTTTTTTTTTTATTCCAGTGATTTGTTAAACATCACAGTATGTTTCCATGGGCTAAAGCTCTTTATATAAACATTTACATTTGAAATTGTTACTTCATATATGTTTAACTGTTTGCATTTTAAATTTTCTTTCACAAAGACCTTTTAAAAAAGCATGTATAAAGGCTATAGAATTGTAAAAATGCTAAATTATACATGTACTATATTTATCCAAGGTATAATCCAAAAAAGACGTTCTCATATATTCACAGTAAATTTTAAGACATTTTTAAGCTTCCCTCACAGTGACATAGTGCAGCTTCTTTTTTTAAAAAAGGAAGCATTTAAAGAAACACTTCTTCATTGAGTTTCCAATTACTTTCAACATAATCTGTACTCAGAAATAACGTTTCTGATTCAGACAGTATCCCTAATTTATTTGCAATCCACACAGAATCCGAGAGAACAGAATGCTTACGGTTGTTCTGATTACTGTCTCTATTTGTCCAGAAAACACACAAAAAGGTGGATAAAACATTAGCTCAGTTTATATTGGTGAGATGAAAAAAAAAATCAATCAAAACAAATTTACCATTTGTGCCTAAGGGAACATCAAGGCCAATGCTGTGAACCTGTTTAGATAGTAACCTGAGAGAAACCTGCACCACTTGGTCTGGAAAAAGTGACCTTATTGTATTATTCACTCCATATACCCTGCAGAGTCTTGCTCTACCTAGGTGTGCCACTGAAGATAAAGCTGTGAATTCTGCTTTCTAATACAAGTCCTTTATTATTTCTTGCATAAGCGGGTGCAGGCACATGTCCACTTCGGTTTTCTTGAGGAGCTGCATCAAACGCACGTGATCTGTCACAATCTGACGGAGGTCCGTCATTTTCTGCAGCAGCTTGGCGAACAGCTGGAGGGATTCGGGATGGTTCAGTTTGAGCTGCAGTTCCAGTGCTTGCAGGACAGTGTCCTGTAGGTCTTCAATGGGCTTCACATTCACCAAACCCGGACGATCTGCAAGACCATAACACGTGGCTTTTAAAACATTATCACCGATAATTGTATTTGACGATAAGATTTGATAAGTGACTTCATTGTTGTTTAGCATACTGGAGCACTCCAAGTATAGGACCCTGCAGTAGGGTATAACAGCAGTGTCCCATTTTTAATGCGAAACTACAACCTTCCAGTTACACGTCCTCACCCCAACCCCTCACTGGTGCCTCATCAAAAACATGTCCTTTATTTTTTCTCGACAAAGAAAGCACTACTTCTTCACCTGGAAACCTAGAAGAGCACACCAGCACTTTGAGAGTCACTGTAAGAGTAAACCTTTTCTGAGAGCAAGACAATCATTCAATTAGTTCAACAAATAGAGGTTATTTCTATTTCTAAAATTAGAAACAAAACAGAAAAAACCCCAATGGCTGTGGAGTTTCTTTAGGTGTGAGGAGAAGGGTAAACAGCTGAAATATGTTTGTTTTTTATATATCTCTACTTTCCCATGTTGAATTAACTTCTCCTTGTTTCTCTGCAGATGCAGCTTGCTATTCAAACTTTTTAAAGTTGTTTAATTTAATTTAATTATTGATTAATCACTAGTCCTGAATTTGATAACCCCTTGAGATAAAAATATACACTCTTCTGTGGTATTTTCTTTAAGTAAAGCCTTGATTTCAAGTTAATATTTTACAGACCTCTGTGTAGCTGGTATTTTAAATAATCTAGTGAACTAAGTTCAAGGACACAATTATATTTCCCAACACAAAAAACATTTAAGTTATCAATACATCCTCGGTGATAAAGCCTCTGTGGATATATTCAAAGATATTTTTTTTCTCGGAGCGTTGTCAAAGCCAAAGCCAAAACATACGATGTAGTCCCCATGATATAATGTTGAATAAAAACAGATACATTTTAAAAACGTTTGCATTCTAACAGACTACAAATTCAATCAAGTTTGTAGCCTTGTAAATGTCTTCACTTAGTCTAAGACATTTTGAGCAATATGTTAGAGCAATATGACCACATGTCAAACTAAAGTGAAAGGCAGATATTGAGTCACATGCCGGCAGTGAAGCCAATAACAGCTAAAAGTTCAACACAAGCTGCAGTTGGATATTATCAGAAAGAGAATGCCCTGGGGCAGTTTCTGGTTGGGCAATACACAGCGATCTGATTAGAATGTATGCAAGCAGCAGATGACTTGTTTCATTTCTGCAATGAAAAGAATGACTCAACAAATAACAGTACTTCAAATCTGACTCCAAGGAGATCCCTGGGTCCCAACAAGGCTGCAGACACAAAGGGTGATCGGGACTGTATCTAGATTAGAAATCTTGACCGACTACTACTATTTCTGCTGCTACAGTGAAATTTAAAACTAGCATTAACATAATGCAAGATTATTCACAGACCTTAAAGACAAATGACACCTTTAAAGTTAGTGGGCTGAGGCTGTGAAATCTGATTTGATTTTCCACTCTTCCAGCACAATTTCATGCTCTTCATTTCCATTAGGCAAAGTTAGTCTGTACAGGCAGATTTGCCTAGGGTATATTATGTAATAAGTAAATCCTTCAAAAGTTCTGCATTTTTTGCTAAAGCAATGGCATTTGAAATCCTGATTCACTGCTTTTAAAGCAGATGTAATCTGTAACTATGGCTGAGCTTTTCTCACTGAGCATGAGAACCCAGAGTTACCATTTTGATTCCAGTTTTGCAATAACAGTGAATCTATATTCTCTGGCAAGAAAATTAACTTTTGTCACACATCGTCTGATCTTTGTATGACAAAGCTGTGATCTTTAATGGAAATATAACCTTCAAAATTAGCACCTGCCTTCTGCTGTACACAAAATAACTCACCTCCACTCAGGATGATCACGGCAAGAAAGAGTGCCATATCACTGTCATCTAGCTCAAGGGCATTGAACTTCACGGAGAAGTCAAACTTGGGCTCCATCATTTCGCAGAAGGGTTTCCGGAGGCTCTTGAGAAACTCCCGGGTCATGAAGATCTGTCCATAGGAGATCAGGGTTCCATCCTTGTTCATGAGAGAGGCCCACATGCTAATTAGAACTTCATGGACGCCATACTTTAGGAGAGTCACCTGGTCATTCAGGTCGAGGTTGATAAAACCCGGGATGCTCTTTGCAAACTCGGTGACCTCCCGGACAGCTTCCACCGAGCGGACCTGACAACGCTGGAAGAACCTCAGCTCTGCCTCGTCATTGGGCTCGTGGCTGAACCCCTGCTCCTGTCTATGCTCTAGGAGTGGGACCTGCTTGCAGTGTATCAGCTGTTCTCCAGCAGTGAGAGATTTCATATCGTGGATTACAAAAGGCTGTTGGAAAGACAAAGACAAACAGTTGCCGTTAGTTCTACCTTCCATCTATTCTAATTCGTTCAAGGCGTCGGAAGCTCACTCGTTGAAAATGTTACTTAACAGATTGTAAATGACATGTTAAGGTAGTTGAAGACGTATATTTGAACAAACATATTTGAAGAGGACATTAAAAGGTGACCAGAGATGCAATTTGCATTTCAGACCTACAGTATATATAGCCATTGTTTGGTAATGAGATGGTTATTCTGGTAAGAGTTGTGGCAAGTGAGGGCCTGTCTCTGAGGCACAGGACTGACAGCTCCCAACTGCTCTTCCCCTACATGACAATTTAAAATATACAGCCAATCAAATCTAGCCAGCATGTCTTTTGAAGGTGAGAATAAACTAGCACCTGGAAGCATGGCAGTTTAACACCTGAAGCACTAACTGTCTTGTCACCCTGTCAGTTCTAGTCACTTGTTATGAAAACAGGAAAAGAAAACAATTCTGTTCTGTCCTGAAGTACAGGTTCCCGTTCTTTTGTAGAGCTATTCCTTTTAGGCCCCTATAAAATTCCTCCACGTAGTCAAGTTTAACTGTTACATCCCTCTGTGTAATATTAATAAACATACTAGGGAGGTACTTAATCCTCCCTTACATGAAGTGTGATTTTTTGTCTTTCTGTTTCTGTCTGAAGATAAATTAAAATCTGTTGTATCCATTTCAAATCCCAAAATACCATCCTAGAAACATTATGTCTAAACTTAGTTTAACGTGCCAAATCACATCTAATATTTAGAAATATATTGGCAAAAACTAGTTATTATATAAAATATAATGAAATATAATTTTTATGAAAATAATTCTGACAGGTTGTTAACACAATCCTGCTGCCCATTTTGTCTTTGTCTTTAAAACAAACAGCTGTATGGTCTCATCTGCCCTATAACTTCAGGCTAGCTAGTCAAAACAAGCTTAAATAAAGGATATTTAACAGCCTTGGAGATATCACTTCCCAGAAATACACTTTATGATTATCATTGAATGCCTCTGTGTTTTAAAAACACAAAGCATCCTTTAAATAGTGAATACCCGTCTGCAACAACATGTCTTCTCGTTGAGGGAGAAGTGCAGGACAAGGCTATGCTCGAGCTGTCTTATGCTCAATAAAGTAACCAAGTGATGATCAAGTGATAATGTGGAATATCTTTACATCCACCGAAAGTCACTATAGGAATGCACTACATGGTCATGCAGTTACAAAACTGGAGAGCTCAGAAGCAATTAAAGCCACATTACAAGTTACTTATTAACCCTTAAGAACTGTATCTCTAAATAGCATGATCAACCAGCACATGAGACATTTTCCAACAGAACTGCTCCCCATCTGAAGTCAAAACCGTCATCACAACAGGAAAGGACAAGCCCAGTTCTCAAGCTCTATTTCCTTTAGATTTCACAGGTGTATTTCAATTAGTAGTACTAAATAAAAACAGGTTATTTGACCTTTTCTAAGTTCATTTCAGCTGAGTAAGAAGAGGCTGAAAACCAGAATTCCCCCAGGGCTTTGAGGACTGCATTTTCCAGTCTCTGACTGTAAATATTGTATATTTAGGGAGTGTCAATATCATTAATCAAAGGCTCAATTAAAGTCACTCTGTGGAGTTACTACACTGCTGAGAAAGTAATGATAAACAACAATTATTTTGAATGTATTAATTCACTGCAATTCTTGTGTCTGAATACATAGTTTTTTAGGAGGGAGGATAATTCAAATAACTGCATAAAAAAATGATTTTCATTTTCCAAACAAATTATTAAACTATCTAATAATAATAATAATATACACATAAAACTGCGTTAGGCAAAGAGGGAAATTTTAAAATTATAAACCAAACTAACACAGTGGTCTAAAAGAAATAAAAATGGTATTATTTATGAACTTTTTGAACAGATATAATAATGAGCTATCCTGTATTCACATGCTATATGGATCCACAGTAGTTCAAGTAGGTAGCTGCGTCAGCATGCGTAGGCTGTCACACTCCCAAAGATGGCTCCACAGCCCAAACAGTTTTTTTTTCTCTTTTCGGCATAGAATAAACCTTTACTTGTTCCTATATGGATCCATGTTCACTTTCTAACCAAACAAGTGTAGAAGTGCACTTCTGAAGCAGAAGTGATGAACCACTCACCGCGATGTCGCCTGTCTTTCCAGACAAGATGGCCCTTGCCTTTGCTTTGGTCAAAGGGAAGGACTTCAGATATGAGTCATACAAGTGTTTGGCAAGAGCTCTCAGGTCAGCAGACTCTGGGTTCATGTGGTCAGTATCTGAAGAGAATTCAGCCAAAAGCTTCTCTTTCTCGGCTTGGGGCATGCGACCAAAACGAATGGCTGAGGAACAAGAAAAAAAAAACATTGCAAAATTCTAAATGTCATTCATGACATCTCTTTATAGCAAATTCAACTGCCCTGCTCTCTTTGCTGGAATAAAAGCTTGGTGCACAAAATTAAAATAGTGTTTTCTCAGCTTGGTTACTACGTATCTAAAAGTAGAGTAATGTTTGTAGGATGGTAAAAAAAAAATTACTATAAGTTGAAAGACAGAAACAGAGATGTTTCTTAGAAAGAGGGAGACACAACGGATTAAATCTCAGTAAAGAGTTTTATTTCTCCTCAATTGGAGCAATATAAAGTTCAATAAAACATCCTCCAACTGTCACCTGCATAAGATCTAGTCCTTGTTTTGTTTTGAAACAGACCTCTTCTCTCGAAATACATTTCAAGTCTGAGTCCTACACTAGAAAGGAAATGAGATTCTTGAAATACACTATACCACTATACGTTTTTTGCTTTTCAGAATCATTACCTGCAGAAGATAAAACATGCCCTGAGACTTTTTACTACAAGACTAGATGCCTGCATCTATTTAAATGTGCTTAATGTTTTATAAATTCCACACATAAAGCCTTAAACGTGTATTGTAAAAAATGTTTGCATTTCTGGACATGGGTGGTGATAGCTGAAACATTCTGTTATCAGAAAGTAAATTGCATGTCTAATCCATTGAACTATAGGTTAAAAAAAGATCTATATCTATATAAATCTTTTTTTCAGAGCGTAGTTAGCCATGTTATTCATTTAAATTACTGACTGATTAGTTCAGGTGCAGAATGCCATGACCACCACCATTCTCAGATCCGTCACCACTTAACTGCCTCACACCTTTAATAAACTCTTTCTGTTTGTTACACTTCCTACTTCTGGGCCCCTGGCCAACAGCTCTGACACAGCATTTTAGTGTCAATGAAATCTCAGCAGCCCAGGGGCTGAGCACCTTATCAATGATTCATGAAAACACATCTAAAGTAAACCATCAGAAAACCCCAAACCACCACAGAATCTGTGAATTGTGAACTACTTTAGTTATCATAAAATTTGAGAAATAATGCTCACTAGCCTGATAAGATTCAGTTTTTCATGTCAAGAAATCATTCAGATAATTGTTATGGCTAGTTAAACCATATAACTCCTACTAATAAAGTAATACCTTTATCATCTTCAGATAGGGAATATTAGGTGATATTACAGTATGTGAAGTAGGTCTTACTATGTTTTGGACTTTCAAATGATTGGGTAATGTTGTTAAATAGGTGTCTGTAAAACCAAAGCAAGATTTCAATGAACATTAGAAACATGAAAAGGCCCATCTAGCTCATTTTCGCACTTGATAGATTCAAGGATCTCATCCAGTGATTTCTTGAAAGAAGCCAGGGTACAGGCTTCAACAGAATGGCTGGATAGTAAGTTCCACGCTCCCACTACCCTGCTAGTAAAGAAATGCCACCTGAAAAATCAATAGATGTAATTTTCAATTATCCATATCATTATGTGAAATGCCAACAGTGTGTTGTGGTCTTTCGTCTTTCACAGATTTATTATTAATATTTTTATAAATTTTGTTTATGTATGTTTTCATTGCGTCACAAACATGTCTTGAAAGGAAGCCATACGAAACGAGTGACCCAAGACCCCTTTTTGAGAGCGGGAACTATACAGCTATGCATTAAACCACACATAGGAAACTTCATTTTGTTAAAAAAAAAAACACACCCAGGATGGGCTCTTTTTTTTTCTTTTACATGTAAAGTCACTACCTTATATTTTTGAGTCTTGAAAGGTGTGAACGGAAACCGGGCAGCTGGCACATCAATTCGAAACAATGGCAGAGCTGCATTTCTGCAGAGCGCCACCTCGCCTACATGAGCTCTTATCTCTCTGCCAGACAACAGACACGAAGTGGACAACGGAGGCACTGCTTACCATTATGGGACATGCCGACCATAAGGCACTTCTGAAACCGACAATACTGACATTTGTTTCGGCTCTTTTTGTGAATACGACAGTTTAGATCGCATCGGTCGTAAACCAGCTTCAACCGTATCGTTCTACGGAAGAAGCCCTAGAAAAAGTTAAAAAAACATAGATATTAAAACAAGACAATGGGATGTGTATCGAGCCAAATTCTATATCCTGTGATCTTCAGACCTGTGTCTTCATATTGAAAGGGAACGTTTTCATTTCTTTTTCTCCATTACATCTCACTAGGTTGTTGCCAAGAGCTCTAGATGACAAGTGACTGAGTAAACTGAGATTAGTTTGAAATATACAGATAGCATAAAGACACAATATTGTTTTCTTGAAAAAAGGGGTATATACTAGTTCCGTTCTGTATATTTCTTTGATTTCCACCAGGCTTGATTATCACCTGAGCCCAATTAATTCTCTCCCTAATGAGGACATTTAGTGCTTATGCAATGATTCAAATTAACATGAATGTGTCGCAGTAAGTCAAGGGTGATTAATTATTCAGAGACACACAACAAAACATATAATCAATAGCTAAAATGGACATATTTTATTTTTCTTAAAACACACATACATAAATAAAGTGTTACATTTCTTTTTATACATTGTATATTTTTGGAATGGGGAAAGTAAAAGACATGGCTCTTCATCAAAATCCTGCATGATTTCTGACATTTCTGGAAAAGATGGCTAAATATAAGCCCACTTAAAAGAAGTTACGTCAACATTGTGACAAAAATTGTACACTTTAAAGGACTTGCTTTTCACAGTATTCATCTTATACGTGAAAGCTTAGTGGACACATTTTAGTTTCTGTAACAGCACAAGAAATAATTAGCCAGAGATGTATTTTAAAACTGCTACAAGTAATGGAAATGTGGGCTGGGTCAGGGTGAGGAGACTGAATGCCCTCCCTTTTTCCTTTCATATAATGTTGTCATCTCAGTTTTGAAATTCGACTAATAATACAAATTTTCTGTGAGGTAATTTGGAAACTCAGTATCTACTTGTGGTTAATGTGACAGACAGTACACAGATAGGAAGACACTTCGAGCTTGGCGAGTCTTCATTTCAAATAAAGACTTTCGTGTACTCTTACAGCACATCAGTGAAGCAAAGAACAAGCACACTGTTAATTTCCTAACTGTGAGCAGACTTCATGAGATTCTAAATTAGCATAAGAAAGAATTTTCGTATGTCATGTATTATTTTTAAATTTTAATATAATCCAGATTGGAAAAAAAACCCTCAAATCTAATATATCTGATAAAGTGATATATTGTAGACCTATATAAACAGCAAGAAAAGTGAGTACTCTTCTAAAAACTGCTTATCCATACCGCATAAGAGAATACCATAACGGTGAAGAAACAATAATATCGTGCCATCATGGTACCAAATGTTTTTGATTTATTACTGTTAAGTAAAAGATAAAGGACATACAATTCCAGAAACCTAGTTAATAATTAAGCCACACTGGGAACTTCAAAGAAATAAAACACTGAACTGGATGACACTGCAAAGAGAAGAGAAGGTCCTACATTTTAATAGCTGCAGCCTGTTGGGAGGACTAACCCATACCTTGCACCCTTCACAAGCATGAACTCCATAGTGGAAACCAGATGCTTTGTCGCCACAGACTCTGCACTCAATGTTGAGCATCGAGTTGGCGTTGTCTTCAAGAAGCTTCGAGTATGGCTGGCCTTTCTCAGAGTACTGAGGAGGAGAATGTGGTTCCATCTTTATTGTATCTGAAAAAACGAAAACACAATATAAGGAATTATCATTTGTAAAAAAGGGTTTGAACTTGACACTAACCTGTCTTTTAAAGGAATTAGAACACTATTTTCCTATGGCTCTAGCTGCTTCACATCCACAAGTAATGTTTGAAGCGGCTGAGGGTAGAACAAACCCAGCTTTTGGGATTCATCTAAATAATAATATGTCATGGTAGCCCTGTGGTCCACTGTAGTAAAGCACAGTAAAGAAATTAAAACCACTGTAAATCATAGCAAAAATAAGGTAAAACCGCAGTAAAACTGTGAAAATAATATTATAAATTACACAAGGGACAACTTTCTAAAAGTAATTTTGGGTAACAGCCTTGTGGACTTTACAACCTAAATCATAATCAACCGAATGGCTAAAGTTAAAGTGATAATAATAAAATACGTGCATACTTGGGTTTTCATTCATTTTGAAATCATACATGTAGTCGAATTGCGCCAGGTCTTCACTTGGGAGAGGGCTGGTTTCATAAGCAAGGCTGGAGATGCTGGAATAGTCCACTGTTGTGAAGGGTTTCATGTCAAAAGACTGAGAGCTGTCATCCAGGTCTGCCAGATCCACTGCATTCAGTCCAAAATTCATGGGCCAAACTGGCATCTGTGTGTCAACCATAGCTGGAAATCAGAAACAAAAAAAAAACATCACTGAGCGCTTGAGGACACAGTGCAGTTCATTAGTCTCCACAGCTGGCTGTATTTATCAAGTAAGATGTACCAAGATGTCCTAAACTGTGGTACAGTTTGAACACGGAACAGTTTTGTATTTTCAAGGGGATCATTTTTAAGGAACGTTAATGACATGGACCGTATCTGATTCAGGTGGTATATGATTCAGAATGTTTTGTAGTATTATTACAAATCTGAAAAGGTTGTGTTGAAATCTATTTTTATGGACTCCATTAGAACTACTTAAAGTTTTTTTGTACTTATTAAAATTGATTTCTATAAATATATCAGTGGGCTACAGTGTCCATTGACAAGGCACGCATTAAAGCAAATGGTAAATTAACCTTAGAAATATATTTGAACAGACAAACTAAACTTAAAAAAGTCTAAAACATGGAAATAAGGTGTTAATTGTAAAACAATATTTGTGGAAATTCCCCTTCATTTTAGAGCATGAAGCGATTTCTATGATGAAATACGGGTATAGACCTTTTCCACAAATTTGATGTAGGCAAAGTCATCATGAAGACTGCTTGTTATTTGCATGATACAGTATGTGAATACAAGATTTTTTAATTAGGAGCAACACTGCCCATTGGTTTAATTTGGTAGCTGACACTTGATGCAGCATTGTGCTAAACTGTTAACTTTATAACTCCACTGAAAACACCATGCAGAGTAAAAATGATGCAAAAGCAAATTAATCTGAACGATAGGAAATAACTGTCATGCTGCAGAAATACTGTGACCAGCTCACAGGGGGGTTACTGAGCAATGTCTTAAGGCCTTATCACTGGGGAAAGGAAGAATTTCTAGAAGAATCTTGTGACAAACAGAAGAAAAAGAACATTTCTAATCTTAATGAGAAGATACAATCTCTAAAAGTGGAAGCCCAATAACCACTATTAGAATAACTGCCAGGTATTTAATAGATGTGAAGTTTTAAAAAATGTATTTTAATAACACACAATTAAGAAAGTTAATTAAGAAAGCTGTTAATAAGAATCAGAAACAGAATCCTTAAGTTCAAAGAATGCACTCTGAAATCCAGCACAGAGTGTGCTCTGAACTAAAACAAAGATATTAGATAACAAAGTGAACTCTAACTTGGTTGAACTTTTATATGAACTAACAATCAGAATGTGCAATAACCCAGTTTAAAGGAACTCAGATGACCTTCAGGTAAATTTATATAATCAAGGCCATCAGTTATTTCAGTTATGTCCACATAATGATCTTAATAAGAGAGTTACCTGGTATCTCTCCACATTACACATGTTTAAAAGCACATTCGTAGATTCTCAATGTGGAGAACACTTGGTCACTGCAACATTAAAGCTTTGTAAATGATATAAGCTGATAGATGGCCTACACTATTCATATTTCTCAAAGTTCCATGTACCTTTATAGTGAACATGAAAATAAAAAGTATTTAATTTATAGTCATGTATTTAACAGTGGTTATGCAATAGAACTGTTTTGTTATACATATGTGAAAAAGAAAAAGTAAATATATTTCACCTTTTATACATACTGCATATTTTATACTTCTGTTGTGTGATCTTATTAATGCAAAAGTACCTTTTTATGATAAAGTATATAAGGCATTTTTCAAGAGACTTCATAACTAATAATAACAACGTTTTAAAAGCTGCTTGGAGCCAAATTAGTATCTAATTTCCTCGGTGTGACAGAAAAATGAATTGAGCTTCTTATAACGTTAATTTGGATATAATCTATTTTCATTTAAAAAAAAATATTTTCTGGAAGTGCTTATTTAAATCACTTACATTTCCTTTGCCGGTATTTTATACAAACTCCTCAATCAGTGAGTTTCCTCTTAAATTGACTTGTTATAATACAGCCCCCGCCCCTGGCCATAAGAAAAGACACATTTTCCAAAGAACATTCTATGAGGAAAGTAGTGGGCAGTGGACTAAAAATAGCAGAGGTTAAGACTTTGTTTCCATACAATCGATGTCCATTTTGAAATTAGGAAAACAAGCTCCTTGCAGGGGGACCTTTGCTCTGGTTGGCGAGGTCCAGAAATATTAGAGCCAAACTCCCCCCCAGTCACATCAGTGGCTGAATCACACATTAATGACTTGTTTTTCAGATATGGACTCACTGATCTGATGATGAAACATTTAAGCAACACTTATTCTTAGCAGCTTTTATATTTCAGCCAAATTTCTCAAATCCATGTCACATCTGCCCAAAGTGCGAATGAAGAGAATTTCTGTTTTTAGTTTCAATGACAGTGAACAAATTAAAATCATAGAGGAAACAGTGCATTGGAATTATGTAATATTATTACGTGATAAATGTATAAGTTGACAGAAAGCATATTAACAAAAGGCTCTGAAAGCAAAGTGGACCAACCCTTTTAAAATAAATTCTCTGTCCTTCAATCAAGTCTAATCTTGCATGAAACACCATTAAGTGATTAATATACCAATTTTGCTATACCAGCCTTCATACAAGTACAGAACTAATATTCTGATTTTTCTTTTAGTAAGAGCTATAGCATGTAGCTATAGCATTTAAGGTGATGACTAACCTACTTTTTTATTGGCCAAATCCTCTTTCTGGATTCTGTTTTACAAAAGCCAGCTGTAGTTTTATGAAGAGCAATTTATGGCGAGTGAAATACTGTATGCAATTATCCCCGTTGGGAGGTTTCTTGCAAAACACAATGCAATGTTATTCATTCATATTTCTTAACAACACTTCACATCCTGTCAGAAAACCTTGGAGACTTATTTGTGAACAGCAAAAGGCAGCTTTCCTAAATGTTTACCGGATTATCTTTATGTCTTTACATTATACAACACATACTTGAAAACACAAAGGAGTAGACAGATTATGTCTTAAGAAAATGTATAAATTCTGTTGAGTCCTGGCGTTACAAACACATGTTGAAATACATATGTTTAAAAGGGAATTAGTCCAAAAATGTAGTGACTTGACCCAGATTAAATAACTCAGCATAAACTTGTCATGTGAAATACTAAATAAATGCATTAACTTGTTTTAGACACAATCAAATATGTTTTCTTTTCATAGTCCAAAATAAAGAAGACCTTATTTGTGTCAACTAAATACAAACTCCCAATATTATCCTCTCTCCAGTAACAAAATAACTTTATGACTATGACACAATCAACCAGATTAACATTCATTAAATATATCTTAAATGTTGAACTCACTTATACAAGAAAATAGCTTTAACATTGTACAAGTTACCAATCATTTAAAATACACAAAAAAACGAATTTCTGACACACTGTATATATCCATTCATCCATTCATTTTCTAACTGCTTTATCCAATAACACAGGGGAACCACAGCCTATCCCAGCAAGCAGTGGACACAAGCAGGATATTTCTTACATGTATATATGTAGTTAAAAACACAAGAGAAAATGACAAAATTGTAAAAAAAGAACCCAAACGTTTTAAGCTTCTTCTTAGGAAATAGAATGTAAGCCAAAATTGAGGACATACTTTGCATTCTGCATTTCTTTCTAGAGGAGTGAAATACCAAAACAATCATACCACAAGTTTGCTTCCTAATTCTATGACAAAAATCAGATGCTATTTCATTCATTGTGTTCTCTATCTCACCTGTGAATCGTTATAACAATACTGTTTGTAAGATTTACTAAGTAAGTTTAAGTACAATCACATACTAAATACAATAATGTAGAGACTAGTAATGTTGAATGGTGAACCCTTTCTAAAGCACTTTATATGTAATAGAGGAATGTATTTCTTTGCATCCAATCATCACCAGAAAGGATACACCCACAATAAGATGACGGTACTAAAACCATGCAGGGTTTCTAAGCACACTGGATAAAAAATGTATAATTCTGCAACTCTGGAGAAATGTTGGAGAACAGGTAACACTAAAATGAAATGTGGTATGTTTTGCCAGGGTAAGTGCACTTACAGCGAATTCAGAAAAAGCTTGAGTTTTATAACTACGTCATTGGAAAGGAACAATAAATCTGTCAACACCTACATAGCTATGGAGAAAAAAACTTACTAAACTTCTTTGTTAAAAGGAACCAGACAATTAAGCCACCACTGTAGAATTAATGGATCCAATATCATGTACTATTCACAAAAAAAGTGTTACGACCATAATTCACACAAACTCACATACTGTAAAATGACTTTGAAATGTGTAGAAATTTGAAATAACTTTGAAATAAGAAATATGAAATGTGCAGAAATCAGTGTCTAGCCCCATGGTCCTAAAACTTTCCATTTACAATAGAAAGCTCCACACATAATGGCTGTCCATAGTCGGTGAGAAATACTGGATAATTAAATCATGATTTAGTTCTCAATAGACAGTTTTCGTTTTCTTCCAGTTCACAACAAAATACATCTTTCACTTTATAAAACACACCATACTTAATTGCGGGTGTGAATAAGTTCACTAATAAATCATTTTGATGTAGCACTGTATTTAGATACAGGATATCACAAGCCACTGTATTTAGCAGATCATGATCAGAGCAAATCTCTCCTTTATTCAAAGGCAGACTGGCCACACTTGAGAGAGGTAGGTCAATCACAGAATCACAGTTCAGATGAATTGCTCAACACTCCTGTTATCCCACTGTAAAAATACTTGTATAGTATTCGTACAGGTGCTTGGAAATGCACATACTGTACATGGCACGTTAGGAAAAATGATTGAAGAAAACTTACCCTCCTTCAGTGTCTTCTTACATTATGCCTTCAGTACAAAAGCAAGAGCTACCATCTTTGTACAGAACAGGGCTAACACTGGTGCAACCTGTTTGACCACATTCAGCAATATCTTGAAAAAGGATAAGTCATCCTAGAAATATGACTAAACAAGCAGCTAGCCCAGTCTTCACAACAACCTTTATTTATGTTTGGATCTCCTTACTCTGTAACTCTCTTCTTGGAACTAGAAAACTTTACAATTTAGTATATGTTCTTGTCAGTTGTATTGTAATCATTATAGCTTCTACAACAAAAAGAAGCTACATCAGAAAATACCTGAATAATTTCAGATATTTCACCGACTTGTCTGCTTTGATTTAATCAATTTAATCCTTGACTAATGCATAGATATTTAAGATTTGAGTGGAAACTACATTATCTTCAGAGATAGTATCATATTTACATTTCTGATGCTATGCCACAGAAATCCTGGTCTGAATTAACTTCATGGCCAGGAGACAAGGCTGACAGAAATGTTTGGGAATGGATACTGTAAGAAGGATATTTTACATTTGCGTATACTTTATGACTGTTAGAACTTTAAATGTTGTTGTTCCATACAGAGATAGGCCTATTTTCCCGAAGAAATGTCTTATGTAAAGCTGTGTGACACTCCTGAGTGCCTGTCTGATGGAAATCCTGGAACAGTTAGTTCAAAAACAGATTGTTTGCAGGGAAACTAGGACAGGTGCCACTGAAAAGGCTATTACGTATCCGTCCTGGAGATGCCTTTATTGTGTGACAATGTTTTTTCACAAACATGTCTGGAGAACATGAATGTAATAATCAAAGCGTACAATGCAATGGACTCATTTACACTTTCCAAAGGGAAGATAAGATTTTTAAAGAAGAATGCAGGAAGGGTTCCAAACAAGAGGTCACCATTTACTCCAGCTACTTCTGTTAACAACAGATCTAAATCTCCAAACCTCCAAATGGGTTGTGGGAGTCTGGAACAAGATCCCGAGCCTTGCTGTTGATGCCAAGGCCCAGTCTTCTTTCCAAAAAATTCCCGATTGAGATTCTCAGTTTAATTAGCTACTAGCAACTAAACGGGCAGAAAGGGCCAACTACAACCTTTCTCATATCCTTATCACAGCCACCTGTTTCTAAGACATGAAGAACTGGAATTATGTTTGAAGTGTCATAGAAAGAGAAATATCAAGATAAAAGGGTAGGGATCTTTTTTAGTTTCTGGTTGATTTATCACATTTACATTTTCAACACTGGCACCATGGTAGCATGACAGTTAGCACAACTGTTAAATTTTAGTGGCAATTGTAAATGATCCCTTTCTGGGGGGAATGTTTAGGGGGATTTCATACTTGGGGGTTTGTTCCCAGTATTAGTAGTGAGACTGTGAAGAAAACGGAACCGAATGATCGTCATCACCGGAATGGCCTCTTATCATTGGTGACTGTCCTGAAAAAAAAAACAATGTATAGATTTTCCACATGGATACGCGAAGGTCAGATGTATACAATAAAATAACTGGCTACAAATGGCATACATATTATCACCTCTTTTAATCCAAGAAGAAACAATGAATATTTAAAGGGAACTAGATAACAATGTCAGTAATAAAATAATATTTAAGAAACACCTACACAATTCTCAAGATTCTTCCAAAATATGAGCAGGGCTTACTATGAAGAACACCCTGTATTGCACTGTACACTATTGTGCAATCAGAACTAGAATACTTCTTGCAAGCTGTCTAGACACATAACATTATCAAATGCGTAAAGAAAAAAAGATATGATAAATGGAGTCAACTTTGAGAATATCTTTACAGTTTGACATCTTTACAAAAAAATAACTTTCAGTGAGAAAAAGTTTATTTATACTGTACTTCACAGATGAACACAAATCATTTGTTTCAAAATCATATGGTGCAGAATAGGTTTTACATGTAAAAATTGTCCAGCTTCCTGACATACACCTCTGCTTTTTCAATCATTTCATCTACAGTGGAAAGCCCAGAGAACACACTGAGGCGCTGAGTAAGAAACCTCAAAACCAATAGCAGGGTTTTGCCTCTTGAACAGAAGAGGCTGTGAACTCCTGACCCTGGCAGCAGTTCGTTTCTTTGCCCAGGTTAGTTCATCGCGCAACCTTTCAAAATTTCTACATTTTGAAAAATGATACATTTCTGTATACCAGGCTAGTTCAGATTTAGGTCATCGCTGAAACGCGACGGTAGGCTTTTGAAATAACCTCCTTCTTCGATCAGCAGGGTGGTACAAAATGTGAAGCTGAGGGAAAACCCCCCGAGCTTATTGCATTTTCCAAATTAATATCTTATCTAATTTGAATCATTTACCAAATCAGACATTTCTTCCCTTAAATTGTTAGTATTCCACGTACAGTAGGAGCTGAAATAATATTTTAATAGCAACAGACATAAACTACTTGAGAGGTTTGTTTGCTTGTTAAAGAATAGACATATTTCATATTTCAATACATAGACACTTTCCACTAACAGATATTTCTTATTGATCCTGAGATGAGATCTGATCTAAGGGAGGGCTGTGACACACCCGCCCTGCTGGACCAGAATTGGACAATTTTAGGTGTTATAGGTTTTAGCAAACTTATACAATTTCTAAAACTTCACAAATATATTTTCCATGGCTAATTCAAGAGCCGTTACAGTCGTGTGAAAAGTTTCTTTTTTGCTTTTGTTATACTAGTTTATAATAGTTTCCTTTTCCCTCCACATTTTGGATGTTTTGAAATGCCGACTGGCAGAACTTATGCTGATGCTGATGCTAGGGAACCAATTCACTAACACGCCATGAAAAATAAAAAAAGACGAGGGTCAGCACTCACCATACACTGTTTTAAAAAGCTGTGACATCTGGCATCCAAAATTTATGATTTTTCCATTGAGGTGGTTGCGATGAACTTTTGACTTTTAGCAAGTGGGTAATGCCCTTGGTGGATTTGCCCAATTAGTAGGAACTAAAACACACATTTTCCGCTTTTGACACAACATAACCTTAGCAAAAGTGCAGACAGCTAACAATCATGTGGCCTCAGTGTGGAGTATTAGTAAACGCAGATGACTTCCTGTTGCTTCATTCCTACTTACAGACACTCAGTTGCACTTCTCTTGATGGGGGACAGATAATGTTTTTTGTTGTGAGTTTTTTTGTCTTGCCAATATCCTGCAGTTGTTTTACGTAGAACTGGGTGGTTTCATATGAAAGCAAACTTTGGTACTATTACTATGTATATAAAATAAAATAAAAAACAGTCTGAATGTTAACTAAGCACTATTTGAACAAGATTTACGATTTTGTGTCCCTGAAAATAATATATTCTGAAATGTTTAATGAATATCTGAAACTAAACTTATGTGAATGTGTTTCGATCAATTACATCCACCCATTATCTAAAAACTGCTTATTCCTGGTAAGAGTCATGGGAATCTATCACAGAAGCACATGGTTCCAGTTGGAAGTTAAAAAATACTGGAATTTTAAGACCAAAAAACAATACAATTACTATTTTATTATGAGGAAAAATTGCTTTACAGTGATGAAAAACACATAAAGTAAGATATTTCATGACATTATTAAGCAGTGGATCAAAGTTTGTACTGAAATTAGCTTATGACATAGAGTCATAAGCAATTTCGAAAGATCATCTCTAAAAAACAGAAAAAAGGTTAGAAAATTAATTTTCTTTGAATCCATTAATTCTACCACATGAATCAGACCACCTGGTTAGACTGCAGGTTAGCACAAAATGTATTTTTTATTTTTTCCCAATGCTAACCCAGAGCTTTACAAGATGTGGGTCAAGATGTGGCATAAAACATATTATGGGTCCACGTGCAACAAAATTGCATCATGTTCAAAAGATGAAATCTTAGTCATGGTAAAGCTGTGATTCAAACATAGTAGTACTGTACGCGTTTGGCTAAAATGAAGAATATCAACACGAAGTGGGCAAATAAACTCAAATAAGTTACTATGGCACTCCAATATTCGAAATGATTATATGATAGGGCACGCAAGACAACTTGTAGAAGTCTGTTATACCACAAAGGAAGTCAGAATAGGAGCCGTGTAGAACCTTAATGACAAGAGGTGAACTCAACTCTCAGTTGAGTGCTACAGAAAGGCATTTAAACTAATTATATTCTGAGAATAAGCATGAATGTACATACACCAGTATTTATTTTAACACATATGGTGAGAATAAATTGAGCTGCAGATACATAAGATCAATTTTAAGGTATAAATTCAAAACCTATGATATCTCTATGAGAAGATATCATTCTTTACCAGATAGCACTCTTGGGATTCCACAAGTCTTACTGGAATTTTTTCAATAACACACTTCTGGCAAGTGCTGCACATCCCAAAATCTTTATTGTCCAGCTCCCTGGGAATTTGATTTTGCACAATATATAACGACATAACCTTTTGCCTAATTTCTTTTAATAGGAACAAGTTAACGGCCGATTACTCCTTTGGGAGCAGCTGAGTTTCCTTCGCGGATAAGGAACAGAACCACAACAGTCAAGGACTTTACTCATCTCGGATGCTGCAAGCCTGCAGAAGGAATCGACACCACTCCTCAATGTATATTAGGAAAGGCAGGAGCTGAGTGGTTAAAATAATGATGCACAGTATGGAAATGCCATTAACCACAAGCTGCCACCCTCATTAAAGGAACATTTGTGGTACTTAGGGTTTTGACTCGAGCTGTTAAGTGTTTGTTGGGATTTTTTTAGGTAAAATTTTAGTTCTGAAGACCCCTCCCAAAAGTGTGCAAAAGGGCTTACCCCCTATCCAGACTGGAAGTTGTTAACCTGGAAAACTCACCTCCCCTCACTCTTGAAGAGCCAGCTCTGAATGGGATCAGTTTACGGGGTTTTTTTTCTATGGCTTTTTTCTGCTTTGTTCCCTATTGTTTTCATTTTAAACAGGAAGGCCATGTTTACTCGCCTTACAGGCACACACCTCCTGAGGTGAAGAACAAGGCTGTAATCAAGAGAAAATAAAACTCATAGCTCATTATGATGTAATGCTATGGCGAGCCCTTGAATTTTAGACTACATGATCGCTTCTAAAGCACTGACGTGGAAATGCCTTCGAAAGATTAACATGAGGATTTTCAACGTTTTTCAGTGCCAAATATGCTCCCCATTTTCCGAAAGCATAAAATTAAAGTACAAACCTAGTGACAGGAAATGTAGATATGAATATTAGAATTGAAATGAGATTATATGAACACCTACAGAATGTGCAAACAGCAGATGACAAATCCAGACTGATTCCTAAGAATGTTGTGCTCAGTCATGTAATGGGATTAAAATATGTGAACACTAGGTACCTTAAAAATATGATGGAATCTGGTTCACAGTTTCACAAAATGAGCTGGACTTTATTATATGAGGAGTACGGTTTACACTACAGCTAAAGTTTCTAATATGTTTTCTAATACGTTTTCTAATATGTGTTTTAACTCAGCTATAAGCCTATATATCCAAATTTTACAATCTGAAAAAATCACCTTAATTAAAAGTGCCATTGCCTTCACTGCACCTTTGGATTTAGGCAGTAAAACACCATTTGGAGTCTTTTGTTTGAATTTTAGAATCACCTATTTTTACTTTACCTGATTCAGCTAATGGCTATGAACCCCGCAACCTCACATGGAAGAATGAGGAAGTGTATGAAGACTCCTCTTACCTTTCTGCCTTCAAGGCCTTCCACTCTTCACTGGCTACGGAACCCCAATTACATGACAGCACCTCCCCCAGAGCACCCAGGAAATCTCGGGGGTTGCTGGGACCCGAGAGAACCCCAGTTTACTAATCCCACCCCTTTTTTTTCTGTGGTGCTCAGCCAGATCTGGCGCAAACACTAAGGGGAAATCTCAGTCACCATCAGTTAGTGACGCGACCCAGGACTGAACCCCTGAAGCTTTCATCACAGAGATCAACCTGCTCTCAGGTGACAACATCTTTGCAGGTTGAAGCCCACAATTCTGAATATCTCATGAGGTCAGTACAAGTCACACAGTTATTCATATGCTGAAAAAGCACAGAAAAAAAACCCACATGCACTGTGCAAGGTTCCTTCACCGTTTTGGGGTATTTTAAGATAAGATAAGATCACGTTATTGGTCATATACAATTTCTTGTTTTAAGAATTTGTCTTTTCGCATACGCCAACTTGCTCTCCATGAGACACACAGACAGGGAGAGAAGCTTGGGGTCAGAGCGCAGGGTCAGCCATTTATACGGTGCCCCTGGAGCAGCTGGGGTTAAGGACCTTGCTTCTAGCCACAGGCACAGATCCTTAGCCACAGAGCTACATTTTTTACATAAATCTAAATTGTACAGAGGACATGGAGTGCAGCCTCATAACATGAGGTGCAAACTGATGACATATTTTACGAAAAGCAGGAAGAAGCAATTGCACATTTTTCTATACACCACTCATTATGCCTGTTTGGTCACGGGCTATTCTACCTGCAGGGAGGCTGTTTATTCATGGAGGCTCAGAAAGTTGCGTGTGAGCAGGAACATGATGTGACAAAGACCCAGAGGCCCCATTAGGCACTTTCTAATCAGTGATTTGCTGCTACTGACACACCTTCCATTTATTGGTGAAGTTCAAAGTCCTTCAAACAGATGCACATCTCTTCGAATGAAGTCTACCACTACTGGGTCTCCTGTACATTTGTATGCTTACATAACAAATACAGACTGTGATATAAGGTATTTAATATACTGTACAATGGATCTAATACAATCCAATGTTTGAGAGAATGTTTACCTGCCCTTTCCAGGTTGTGCCACCTTAAGCAGAGAACTCGTTTGTAACAAGTTTCCAATTCAATACTATTACATACATAAGATACACAGACACTAGTCTAACATGTATAAATGAACATAACCCTGTTGTGTCACAAAATATACTGTCAATCCAGGACATCTGTTTAAAGCCCCTGTGATGCACCTACAGTAGTTCTGTATGTAACAAGTAGCGGCTGTTCATAGGTAATATGGGAAGTCAAATGAATTTGAAGTAACTAGATTAGTTCATACGCAATTATAATAAAATATTGTAAATGCAATTCTTTAACTTAGCTTTTTATGCGTACTTAGAATATAGATGAATTGAACTATGATGTAATGATGCCATATGTGATCCAAACATTTCTAAAAATGTATAATGTTTCCAAAGTTAAAGGGAAAAATGAACAGAAACAGTGAACGTATGGGTATGTTTATGAAATATATGTATTACTTCAAAGTATGACCAGATACCTTATAACACAATATGTCTATAATGAACAATATAATTGTTTAAAATGAAGGGCAACAATACAAGTCTACATGTCCGTACATCCTACAGCAGTCACTGTATGTACAGTCACTAAATACATCTCAGTTTGTGATTTTGTTTTTTGCAAATGAGAACACCAAACATGAGAAATCTCATCCATTACAATAAAAAACAAATAGTAACATGAAATAATTAACCTTCTAGACATTGCTACTGTATGTAGTTTTGCATAAAATACTTTTTGGATTGGCTTTAGCCAACTTTATAACGTATATCTGCATGGTTGTTGATATGGTTGGTACAACTCCTGATTCTTATGAAGTAACGGGTGAACAGGTATTCGGTACTGATGAAAACATGACCAGCAACAGTGTAAAAATACACATGCACCAACAAGTCTATTCATTTATATAGAAAACGATTAAATGGCACATATAATCTTGGCAGAATATAACATATCAAAGAGGTCATGTTAAGAATGAAAATCATAAATAAAAAAATGGTTCTCCTCTGAAAGTTCTTTAAATAGATTTAGTAAAATAAGCGCCACATAAATAGGAAGTTTGAATTCTGAGAAGTGTGTAGTTCTTCGCAGTATAGATTTCTCAATTAAACTAAATTCCTACAATAAGTTTTCACTGAGTATTTCAACATAAATACCATACATTTAATTGATTCTAATGCTATAGTTTGGAGTGCAGGA